TTAACTATGGCCCGACGTTCTCCCCGTGTTTTATTTTGAGTGCTTTATTTAAATGTGTACTACTCGCGTAAACTACAGACATTTAAAAAACACTCTTAACAGTTTAAAACGCGAATTATGTTAGTTAAAAGTGAGTTAGCTAATATATTTCGCACTTTTGAATCATTAGAAGTGTTTTATTTGAAAAAAATTTGTAGGTTGTAAGCTGTGAATAATACAAAATTGTCATTGTATTTAATTTTCGAACCAAATAACAATAGCTTTCCTATACATACTTCGCTCAGTAACTTGTATTCTTAGAATCAAAAATGACAATTTCAAACAATGCTGAACTTTTGGCAAGGTTTTGTTGCTTATCCAATTTCCTGGCCTGCTTTTTGGCCATTCAGCGATCGCAATATCCGTTAAGCTTTTAGTGGAATTAACTGACCAGCAAACTGCTTCGTCAGTGCACACCTTTTAAATGATGAGTAATGCCTTGGCCGCTACATGTAGATACAGTAAGACATAATTATATTTAGTGCCAGGTATGAAGTAAAATATCTAGTATTGAAAAAATGGTTCCGTTATAGCATCACCTTATTAAGAGATGAATTCAAATACCCCAACCATTTGACATCTTAACAAGACGCGCCATTAAATTATTTTGTTTTTCGATACCACCTTATTATCAGACAGAAATCTTAATAGTTATTTACACTTCATAAATATAAATACTCTGTAGGTTTCGCGAGTAGTACACATTAGAATTAAACACTTTAACGGTTTAAAACGCGATATATATTAGTTAAACTTATTTGAAAATTATTTTTAACTTCGGCCCGACGTTTCGAATGCTCTTCAGCAGCCGTGGTCACGGGTAGACTAAAGATGATGTCTTTGACGTTAAAGTAAAAATAACTGTGCGCCATCTGTTCTGTTAAATTGGAATTTGGCGAAACTGGCCGGGTCCTTGCAGAACTGACAGACGGTGTCTTCACGTTTGCCGGTATGCTGTTTATTGGAATCCAGGATTTTTAAAATGGGATCCCATGTGTTTGATAATTTAAGACCATCTCTTATACTGTTTATAGTTTACGCGAGTAGTACACATTTAAATAAAACACTTTAACGGTTTAAAACGCGATATATTAGTGTGGTGGGAGACCACGGCTCCCCGTGACCACGGCTGCTGCAAAGCATCCGAAACGTCGGGCCGAAGTTAAAAATCATTTTCAAATAAGTTTAACTAATATATCGCGTTTCAAACCGGTAAAGTGTTTTATTTAAACCATCTCGTATGTTGACCGTATTTAAATTTTTGTGTTTTATTTAAAGTTCACAAATTTTTCATCTGTAGAAATCGTACTCGTAATTTCGATATCCCTACTACCCATTTAATTTAATCAGGTTTTAAACTAACTTTTAAAGTAATGTTAACAGAATCGAATCCACGACTTGTTAATCATTTTTAACGATAAATTGCTTCCATTAGATCAAACCGTCAAAAATGGTTATCAAACATCAAACATTTACAATATATATTAACTATATTTGAAACTACAGTGAACAACAACACAAACGAAGTACAGTGTGTACTACAGACAATATCGATATAATGTTCTCCCAATATTGGCATAATTATTGGCATTGGTAAAGGATATAGTAGATTAAAAGTAAAAAGTAAAAGCCCGTTTCCCACTCGTGGGAAATGGGCCGAACACATTTCTGTGTCCCTGTTACTGATCTGTTCTTTTAACGGGCAAGTTGTTCAGCAGACTTCTGTGCCCTGCCCCACTGAAACAATTTTATGTTTCTCTGGGATTCAAACCCAGGACTTCTCGCGCTTAACGCAATGCGAGGCAATACGTTTGAACATTTGGCTACAGAGGCGGTCGTTTAATGTTTTAGAAGTCACTACAATAATAGATACAAATAATAAAAGATTTCATAAAATTTATTTTTACTTCACGTCGCAAGTTAATGACAACATTTATCGCGAAAAGGTGTGACTTGACGCGCTGCCGTTAAATATTTAACGGCTCGTAAATTGAACGTAAACTTACCATAGTTTAAAGAAACATAACTTTCAGTTCATTTATCGAAAATTTATCTGCATGTTACGCTTAATTTATTTGTGTTTATGAAAGATAAATATTTGATAGTGGAAAATAATGATTTGTCATGTTGACGAGACGATATAGTCTGTGTTTTTTGATAACGATAACATTTACTGTTTCAAGTATGTATATATATAAAAATGCGAAGTTCCTGCCCGTGTTGTAAAATTTAATAATTGTATTATGTGCTTATATTAAGGTTTTCTCATGCGAAAGTTTGTATATAAGGTTACTTATTAATACTTTAATATTCTTCTATGACAGGGAATGATAGAAAAGTACGGCAACCCCGTAGGTAATCTTGGTAGGTTAAAACCCGCATCGTCTAATCAAAATGCGCTCTCGACCGAATTTTAGATATTCGGAAACCCAAAGTTAAAATCTAATCGCAGAAACTTTATAGTGTTTACGTGTGTGGAGTAGTACAGAGGTTCGAATTTAAGTAAAATTTCGATTTTAGAAGTTACATGTTTCAGAAAAATTGGAAATTTAAATAAACACTTTAACGGTATAAAACGCGATATATTTTAGCTAACCTTGTTTGAAAATTATTTTAAACTACTACGAAGTTTCGGATGCAGCAGCCGTGGTCACGGGGATGTCTCTCGGTTTAACTAATATGTATCGCGCTTAAAACCGTTAAAGTTTTATATTTTAATGTGTACTACTCGCGTAAACTGCAGACAGTATTTAAATTTGATTTCGATATTGGTAGGCTTTGAATTTACAAACCGTTGTTTATTATCCATTCACTAGCTGTCTCAACGACTTCGTCCGCGTAGGATAGTTACTTTGGGCATCCAAATTGCTTTTTTTTGCAAACCTCCTGTTCTAATATATAAATTTAAGTTATTACCCACAACGTCGATCCCGTCGGTCGTGCAAGTTTATCTTAAGAGATAGATATATATAGTCGCGGCTATTTTTTAGATAGATGAATAAAGATAAATGCTCTGACTAACCCTAAATTTTTCAATTCGAACCAGATGTTCCTGAGATAAGCGGGTTAAAAAAATCAAACAAACTTTTCAGCTTTATATATTAGTATAGATAGATTTATGGACACTAAGAAGACTTTCTGTCTATAAGCAATTAAAGTTTAGAAAACATGTTTATAATTTTCATTTAAGTATATATTTATAAAGGTGCAAACAATTTGTTTTGACTACATTTAACACATCTGGAATATAATTTAAAAATCGAAAATAAATTGAAAAAAATTTCAACTCGGGCAGAACTTGAACCGGCATCGTCAGCGTTCCGTGCTTTTGATTTGAATTGAGCAACCGAGTCAACAGGTAGAGCAACAGCACGGAACGCTGACGATGCCGGTTCAAGTTCTGCCCCAGTCGAAACTTTTTTCAATTTATTTTCGATTTTTAAATTATATAGTGCCTTCATGTGCAATAACATGTAAAAAAAATATTAAGTTTTCAAAAGTCTGGAATATGTTAAAGAATGGTCCAAAAATATAATTACTATGAAGACCTCAATTCTTTATAGAAACGAATTGTGCTCGTAGCTAAAAATAGTAATTCAACTCATAAACGTGTTTTGCTGACCCAAATCACCTAATTGTTACAGATTTGGGTCCGTAGCAGGCAAATGTGGTTAATACTTATGTATTTGCATAATACGAAGCTTATTTTTATGCCGTTACTCTAATTACAAAATTCCTACAAGTATTATTATCTTTGTAAAACTATATAGGTATGTCAATCTATATATAATATAAAAGAATATTGTTGACATTTTAAAGATTCAAGACTTGATATCTTAAACAAAACATGTAATAGCGCTGAAGCGCTGTCGGCCTATTTTGGCTTAGTCGTTAGAAAATCAAATACTTAGATGTGAAATAACAGTAGGTCCTCTTGTTGGTTACCTGAATATAATTCCTTATGGTTGAGTTTAGGCTATGCTAAAGGCCAGAGATTGATTTGAAAGAGTTGGGATTCGGAGCCTACGTACAGATTTTATTTTTCTTTTTAGCCATACTTTGCTATTACTATACTAGCGAGATCTTAAACTACTCATATGGGGTATTGGGAACTCGAAATTTTTGGACACATGAAACTTCGTAAGACCCCAATGTCACATTAAGTGGGTTACACAATATGCGATATTAGGGCTTTTTCACATAAATTGCCTTCCAAGAACACTACGTAATTATTTTATAGCAATGAGGTAATATAGGATAAGAATCGTTTAAATGGTGTATAACTATTATTCCGCATGTAATTGTTTCGTGCAGGTAAAGGCGCCACCGCATTGTGTTATTTAAAGAAATAAGAAAAACATTTTGTTTTTTTAAAAATGGAATTTAGTGCAACTGTTTTAGTGCAAAGTATTATGCGCGAGAGCTGCATCAAAAGGTAGAAAAAATCGACGATGACGTGTAGGGCGTAGACGTTAATTCAATTGATTAACAGCGCAAAATGCTGCGGGTGTCGGTTCAAGCCCTGCCGCGTCGTAAATTTTCAATCTAAAATCGCATTTTTATGCATATAGCGCCATCTTGTGCTTATTTGAACTCTCCATACTTTAGCGCACTTAAATTCTTATGTACTTATGTATTTCAATGACCAACTATAATGAAGAAAAACAGAAAAGTACCTGTCAATTGCCAATTGGTTAGACTGAAACGCGATTAAAATTGACAGTTTTTAAACGAAATTTTCGCTATTCTTACCACTCATTTAATATCTAGATTACACGAAGTCCAATATATTTCAGAAAAATTATAAATTGATGTTCCGTATATTAAATAAGCCATACATGACACTAAAATGCCCGTCAAATTCGTTTAATAAGTGACATTAATTTTGGCTTTACTCAACAACGTGTAGATAATTACAGAGATTTTACTTCCATAGAACTAAATAGAAATATTTTTTACAGACAACTGGCATGACTCCACTGATGTATGCTGTGAAGGACAATCGGACGTCGTTCGTGGAACGGCTGATAGAACTTGGCTCGGATGTTGGTGCCAGGAATAATGTAAGCAATTCTAATATACACTTTACTTTGTTAATGACTACGTATACCTTTTCAAACAATTGTATGCCATTACTTCATTCTGAATCAGGAGTACGAAAACAGAAATATTTCATCGTCATCTAATTCACAAGTTACGAAACACGCAAGGCGAGAATTACAGAGTTGGTTGTATATTGCAGAAATTATGTTCCGAGACCTACAAAATATAGTTTAATCTTCTCAATCAAATGGCGTTCTTCAAGAGTGGTGGCTATATATTTAACATAACATCAATAGTTGAAGAATATACGTCGCGTTTGTCTACAGGTCTACACCCGATTAACCAGGGTTACTGGCCTTATGGCACCAACGAGAATCGAATCTCGTTGGTGCTCTAAATATATTTTTTATCTTCGTGTGACATGTGCCGGCTACCAATACGCGATTTTATTATTATTCAGCGTCTTTTGGGAGCATCTTAAATGGAAATTGTTAAGAATTGATTATGTGTGTTAGTAGTGTATCTACTATGTAATTCTTATCTCGATGGTTCCATAGTTAAAGATGCTGCCGAGCGTAATAAGCACGAGAAGCCTTGGTTTTAAAACCTGGGGAAATATACTCGGTCACATAGGGCACAGAACTTTGTTTAACCTGAACTAGACACATAGATGAATGAACTAGACACAAAAGTGTATCTGTCCCGTTCTAATACAAGATTGGATACTCTTTAGTTTTTAGTAGAAAATTATTGCATTCAGCTACAGTCTATGGGTAGCTGTAATTAAGCTTGCATTTAATAGACAGGTCACGCAAGTGCGTGAGAATTGCAAGCGATTTCCTATATTGTCTAGTTTATTGGTGTAGCTACCTATTTTTAACTTAAACTATTTGATACGAGATACTTAACTGAAGCGAAACCTACCATCCCTTGCCCTCAAATGTGCATTTTCAATCATTTTGAAATAATCGTTGTTATCAACATAACTCCACTACGACCATATTTTGGTTACAACTGTGCTTAATGTGTATTATAAGGATTATAACAATTGCAAGTATTTGGTAATTTTAGGCCTTTCTTACTATTACAATTTGGTTGTTTTCTATTTGTTATGTCAAACTTAATTAATCCATTTGCTGTCTAACAAGTAACAATCTAAGCGAAGTAGACTAAACATTCTATTCAATAGTTAAGTCCTCTGTCGTCTTCTCATAGAGCTTACTAGCTCTTTAGACTCGATTTTCTTTACGGCCATGGCCTACTTTCTCTCTTCTTAAACTTTGTCCTTTTTTTAGTTCTGCACTACCTTATTAACAATGTAACATTACTTGATTATTATATATTATATAACTTAATATATATATATTTTTAGGATAACTACAATGTCTTACATATCTCTGCTATGTACTCCAGGGAAGACATTGTGAAACTCCTTCTGTCAAAGAGAGGAGTTGATCCATTTGCAACAGGAGGTGTAAGTACCATATTCATATTATATATTCATAATGTGTATTGTAATTAATGATGTAATTCTTCTCTTACCAGAGTCGGCAACAAACTCCAGTACATTTGGTATCGAGCAGACAAACTGGCACAGCGACGAGTATTCTTCGTGCTTTACTTACTGCTGCAGGAAAGGATATTCGATTACGACCTGATGGGGTATGTTTTAAATTATCTTTTAGAATAGTCTTTTATCGAAAAACTAATTTGCTGACAATAGCTCAGTTAGTTAGCGGAGCTGCATCGAACGCTGTGGATGCCGGGTCAACTACCGCCCGTTTCTTCAATTACAAGGTTTTAAGACATATAAGAAATAAATAATAACAGTAAACGCGACGAACATTTGCTTACAAGAGTATCTTTTTTCAATTAAAAAAAAATCTGGAATACGTTTATGTGAGTTTTTTTTAATCAGATCTTCTCAGCTAAATATTGTACATGTAAGATGAAATAACAGTCTTTTATGTTATCTATTTGAAAACCATATTTTCAAAATGCAGTTTATGATCGGCATTAGGTTACCCTTCAAACAAATTGATATAATAAGACGTCGCAGTACCGATCTAATTTGGGCCCTAAGGTGAGGATCAGAAGGCTTCGAATGTTTTATGTCATATGGAATGAGCTGATGCAGTGTTGGTCACGAGGATCGCGTGCAAGACTCACTCGCCCGTCGCCTGGCACCGACATCCCCACCGGGAAACTGCCTCCACGACTGTAAACAAACCCTACAATTTCATCAACTAACAGACAAAAGAATTTCCATTTTGTTTCAAGCAGAACTATCAATCAAACTCGCCACACGCATTAAAATTAAATAGGACCGTTTAAACGCGAACGAGGCCGTTTCAGGAGTCGGGACATTCCGACGCGACCCCCAGACCCCCCACGAATAGTAACTAGCTAATTAACTTAAGCTTCGCCGAGTTAAACGTCACGACGCAAAATTTACAATGCAAATCGCTCGCGGAATATTAGTTATAACGTCAGCGGTGAAATTCAAAATTAGCTATTTTAATAGAATTCTCAGTTCGCCCTGCGACACGAATAGAGAAACACTTTCACCATGCCCCGTGGAACCTCTCATCCAAGTCTGGTCTGATGGAGAATCAAGTACGTATAACGGCACCGAACGATTCGACGGCCCGTCTAACCGCGTGCGAGGGAATTCAAAATCGATTTAGCGAGTCAAATCGAATGCACATAAGTCTAAACAAATTGTTTTCGAGTGTGACTTGGAACATGCAGTGATTCCGCACTGCCGTTTCTAGTTCGCCGATAGACATTGCACTGCATGGAGTTCGGTTAGGTGTGAATCCGCGATGTCGGAAGATAGAAATATTCCCAGAAGCGCGAATGTTGTCGTGCGTTCGGACACTCGTAGCCCACCCATGAACCTGTCTAAAGACTTGCAGAAGCTCGAATTGAGCTACATCGAGCTAAATAAAGAGCGAGCTCGCCTCAAAGAGTGGAAAAAGCTAATTCGAGAAATGGTGTTCCAGAGAGGTAAGATCCCGCTGCTGCTGGCCGTGGAGGCGGGGAACCAGAGCATGGTGCGGGAGCTGCTCAGTGCGCAAACAGCGGAACAGCTCAAGGTAAATATGGACCTTCTAAGACGGGATTAAATATCAAATTTCAATACAATAATGCAGTAATACATTATGCTTAGTTTAACAATGACAGCTTTAATAAAATTAACGCCTGTGCGTTAATAAATAAATTAACCTTAATTAAAATAAAATTAGTTTATTAGTTTAAAAAACGTATTTACAATTGAATTTTTCGTTGGCGCCTGAAGTAGCTTTGCAGCTTGGGCACAAAAGTCCGCGTCTACCATATGAATACTTAAACTAATGACTTTTAAATATTATAACTAAAACTATTAATGAATATTTCATTGATATATAACAGTATTTCAAATCATATAGACTGCATAACGGGCTATTAATTAGCAAATTATTTCATGTTAGGGTAAATTCAATTATAATTTGCTACATAAGAACCAATTGTAACTCAGTTCAAGTTAAAAGTTCATTTGCAGATAATATTACTTTGTATCCTTGCGATAAAAAATGATCAAGAGATTGATAACCTACTATGCTGTGATGCATGTAGCAAACGCGTTGATGTCTTTTCTACGCGCAATAATTGAACTCATGCGCAAGTTTATTAAATAAAAATAATATAGTAGTTAACCCGAGAAGTCATAAATTAGTTGTATATATGTACGATACAATAGCAGAGTAACTTTTATTAGAAACATTGAAAAAAATACAGGCAATTTTCCATATTAGTCTAGATATATAACGATTTTTTCGTCACTTAAGGACTTTTTCACTATAGTCGTCAACACCAGCGGGCGATACAGCGTTGCACTTAGCAGCAAGACGCAAAGATGTAGACATGGCTCGAATCCTCGTGGATTATGGTGCCGTGGTAGATGCAGTCAATGGGGCTGGGCAGACAGCCTTGCACATAGCAGCCGCAGAAGGAGACGAACCCCTCGTGAAGTACTTCTATGGTGTTCGAGCGAATGCAGCTATAGCAGACAATGAAGGTTTGAAAAGCATCTGAATTATTGAAATGAATGGTTTGAAAATGTCCCTACATTTTAAAACTGACATAATTTATAATAGAGTAGACGGACAAACAGACAAGCATAGAGGTTTTCTCAATAGATGTAATACACCTCAACAAAGCGCTGTCTTACTTATTTTGGCTTTGGTCATTCGGATAGCCACTGACTGAAACCAAAACACGATTAAGCTTCATGACTTTTTCATCGGTGGACAGTGATTCGTGACCCTGATGGATTTTCGATATTTCTACCAACTATTCAAAATATCCAGATTTCCAGATTCTAAATATATTCGAAACATGTTGATCCCGGCAGGTATTGAACCCGCGAGCTATAGTTTACAATATATGATATGCCCCTACTTTTCTTTTGTTTCAATCTAATAATATATCCTCTTCATTATTGGGGATAACCGGAACCGACGGCTGATCGCGTTCACTAGAAGGAGGACCTCCTACTTCCAAAGTCTGAGCTGCTACAAAAAAAAATTCAGACACTGAACTAAACATTGTGTCCGATCCTGTATTCTTCAAGACTTTTTACGTAGCACACAAATAAAACGGTCCATACAATTTATTTAAGACTGTTGAAATATCTTAAAATGTTTAGAAGTATCTCAAAATAAATATATGACCTTTCTTATATTTTATTTTTAAGATTGATACAACTGTACCTTGTTTTTATCAGACCGGACACCAATGCACCTCGCTGCAGAAAATGGGCACGCAGCGATCATAGAACTCCTCGCAGACAAATTCAAAGCATCAATATTTGAGAGGACAAAAGACGGTAGCACATTGATGCACATCGCTTCACTTAACGGTCACGCGGACTGCGCTATGATGCTGTTCAAAAAGGGGGTATACCTTCATATGCCAAATAAGGTGAGGAACATTGGATTTCAAGATATGTTTGTTATGAAATAACTTTACATTACAATACCCATTACATTGTAATCGTTAATACCAACCAACTTTATAATATACTATGTATATTTGTGTATAAATAAGGATTTCATTTTGGATAAGTATCCAAATAAACTTTTTAAACTGTTCAAATCATGTATTCTGATATATTTGATGGAGATGCAAATGTCAGTGTCATTATTGTCAGTGTGCACTACCATACATACGTTTTAACGCAAGTGAGTCGAGAACTCACGTGCAGTAATGGAAAAATTCGCGCAACTTTTTGACAAATCACAGTGACTTGACAGAACACATTGTTAACTTTGACAGTTAAACGTGATATACCACAGAGTATACTCTGAAGTTAGGCATATAAGCCTAACTTCAGAGTGGCGGGAATCACTAAAATCAAACTTCTCCAACAAATTTATTACAGACTAGTTCCAACGTATTATACTATAGCAGTTACAATGCCCTTCAATTTATCGTATGCTTAGATCTGTCTAAAGCGTGTGTTGTTCTTTTTTCAGGATGGGGCTAGAAGCATCCACACAGCAGCTCGGTACGGCCATGTAGGTATCATCAACACCTTGCTGCAGAAGGGAGAGAGCGTGGACGTCACGACAAATGTAAGTACGATGTAAAGTTTGTACAAGAATGTCTAATTTTATTAAAATTTTGGTGAGTAAATGTTTCTTGCTTCCATTTATCCCGTTATCCCACGTGGGGCATGGTCGAACACATTTCTCTGTCCGTTTAACTGATCGGTTTCACGACAAGGAGTTGATCAGACTCAGAGCCTTGAATGACGGAAACAAGTAGTGTTTCCCCGGGAACCCAGAACGTCTCGCAATTAACATAATGCTAGGCCTTTAACCATTTAGCTGCAGAAACTCAATATTTGGGCGCAAATGTTTGGAAATTTGTAAATGTCTTATTAAAAAGAGAGAAAAGAAGACAGTTTTAATTACATTAAAATACCCCTAAGTTCATCTAAAAGTGATTATTCGTAGTAGTTTTCAGTCATACATATATCCTTTTTTTTCTTAGCTTATTCTCTTCTTTTACGAAAAAATAACCTGGAAACTCGTATATATTTATTTTAAAAAGCTTTATTTGTACAGTTTATTAAAATATTTAATAATTAAAACACTCCAACCAGGATAATTACACCGCTCTTCACATAGCGGTAGAGTCATGCAAACCGGCCGTCGTGGAAACTCTTTTAGGCTATGGAGCTGATGTCCACATTCGAGGTGGAAAACAACGAGAGACCCCATTGCATATAGCCGCAAGGATACCAGACGGTCAGTTGAAGAAAATAACAAACATTCTGTTGATAACTATATGTATATTTGACATGCTCGTAGCAATGTATTGCTTATAATCGACGCGGGTTCGACCAAGGCCAAATATGTTTTTAATCAATTTAAATTTTATAATTAAAATATGCCTTCTGAAAATTATTCGGCTTGTAATATCGAAATTCCGTCCGGGCCACGAACCATCGTCCACCGATGCGAAAGCTGTGAAGTGTAGTCGAATTTTGGTTTCATTCTGTGGAATTTTGAATGTTCAAATGTTGATCTATTTTGATCAGCAGCGTTTAGATGGTATATGGTTGAGGTAATTCTATCAAATGGACCCCATGCTTATCTGTCCTTCTCTGTCATAACAAAACATTAATCAGTTTCATGCCGTTTTCAGGTGACAAGTGTGCCCTAATGCTGTTAAAGTCTGGAGCCGGTCCCAACAAAGCGACAGAAGATGGCATGACGCCGGTACACGTTGCCGCTCGATACGGAAACCTTGCTACTCTGGTGCCCCCTTTGGAAGAGGGCGGTGGCCCCCTAAGAAAAACAAAGGTTTCGTTTTGGATCATTATGTATTTTCATATATATATAAGGAGATCGATTATGATTTTTATGCGAAATAAAACGTGTTGTTGCTTTAATCTAAAAGATTTAATGTTCTTGTTATTTAACAATCTAAACTTACACAAACTACTACAACAATTTTAATATAAAAAGAATTACCTGAAAGAAACAACAAATTAAGTTATTTCGGCAATCTTATAAGAACAATCTTATTAATAACAATGGTAAATTACTTATTTATAGATTGTAAAGAATTTCACTTCATCACTCCATTCACGATAAAAACCCGCCATCTTGACATTATGCGTGACGTTACACCACGTCACACATAATGTCAAATCTTTAGAATTTGCGGGAAATTTAAATCCTCTTACATCTCCCCGCCAAGAAAAAGAATTTTCCTCAAAAATTCTCTCCAAATAACCGTATATGCAAGCATTACACTACCATTAACCATGTACAGATACTGGAAGAAGTTTAGTAATATGAAAAAAATTTGATTCCTTTTTCTTATGACCAGTATCAACTTCAAATATCGAAGAGGATTTCTTTTTTAATATTTTAAATGGTCCTATTTTCAATTCTTCTAATTTCTTTCTATTTAATTTATTTCCGTGTTCTACATATACCATGTCTCCCTCAGCAAATTCATAAGTTTTTCGATTTTTATCAAAAACTTTCTTATTGTAATTATGTGATTTTAATGTGTTTTTCAGCGCTATTTCTTTATCTCTTATCCACTCAGCACTTTCCTTTCCTACTTTTAATTCAGTCGGCAAAATATTTACATCTCTGCCATATAGAAGATAACTTGGAGAAAACCCGGTTACTGAATGACCTGTATTATTGTATACCTTTACACATTCGTGAGCTATTGTTGTCCATGACTTTGTGTTTGACTTTTCATTTATTTTACATCTCATTTTATTTACCAGTGTTTGGTTAAGTCTCTCATTTAATCCGTTTGAGAAAGGCGCATTTACAGCAGTAAAAATCATTATTATATTTTTGGTTTTCAAAAAATTCTTAAAGTCATTCGAATTTATCCCTGGATATTGATCAGTAAGTAAGAATTGAATATCATCCGTTTCTGTACTATTAATTAATTTAATAAAATCACTTGCATTTTGTGTCTTAGATGTTATTATGTATGCATACCTCGTAAAATGATCTACTAAGAGATGTAGGTATTTTTTTGTTGATCGTGAGCCTCCAAACCCTCCTATGGTATCTATGGATACTATTTCAAACGGTTTTCTGGCTGGCCCTAGATGAGACAAAAATCCAATTTTCTCTTGTCCTCTTGACTTATTTTTTATACAAATATCACATGTTTTACAAATATTCTTTATGTTTAAAGTTAAATTTTTTGCAGTATAATATGGGCTTATTGTTTTTAGCATTTGATTAATTCCAATATGACATAATTTTTCATGTACATTCCTAAAAAAAAATTTACTAAATTCTTCTGTTAATATTATTTTTTCCGTTCCTCTGACCTTCTTTAAGAATATATTATGTTTTTCCACCAACCGATTCTTATTATTTTGTAATTCTTCATTACTATCTTGATCTTTTATTATATCATCACACTCAATAAAATTTACAACTTTCAATTGTTCATCTCTATTTTCTTCTATACCCAAGACTGGGTTTCTACTTAAACAATCTGCTTCTAAGTTATTCTTTCCAGGAGAGTATATAATCTTAAAATCATATTGAGACAAATAATAAACTAAATCTCCCAATTCCTCGTCCGTTCTTGATTTCAAATTCATGTTTTCCAATGGTTTATGATCTGTGTAGACCGTAAACGACTTTCCGATTAACCAGTATTGCCAGTATCTCACTGCTTCTTTAATAGCTAAGCATTCCAGATAAATTGCCTTTTTTTTCTTCTGAGCCGTATTAAGTTTTTTAGAGAAATATGCTACTGGCTTCTCCTTTCCATTTAATTGTATCTGTTTTAAAATAGCTCCTACTCCTTCAATTGAAGCATCAGTATAAATGTTTATTGGTAAATTGGAATCAAATATCTCAAGAATTGGTTGTGAGCATAATAGACTTTTTATTGTATCAAAAGCTCGTTGACAATTATGATCCCATATAAATTTTTGGTTTTTTCTTAACAGATTATGCAATGGTTCAAGTATTATTGCACCTTTAGGTATATATTCATTATAGAAGTTGATTTTTCCCAAAAACTGTCTTACATTTTTCTGTGTTCTTGGCACTGGAAAATGTTGGATCGAAATCAAGTTATCTTTTAATGGTTGAATAGAGTTGTTTCCAATAATATGACCAAGATACTTCACACAATCTAAGGCGAATGTGCATTTAGTAAATTTTAATCTAAAGCCTTCAGATTTTATTGCTTCCAGCAGCTTTTTCAAATGAATTATATGTTCCTCAAATGATTTAGAAAAAATCAGAATGTCGTCGATGAAATTAACTGTGAAGTCAGTTAATTTATACTTCCTTAATATATTGCTCAGTATTCTTTGAAATATTGCAGGAGATGTTTTTAGTCCAAATGGTAAACAAGTCCATTGATAATGTCCTTCTTGTGTTATAAATCCTGTTTTTTTTCTGTCTTCGATTCTTAAAGGAATAGACCAGAATGCAGAATTTATATCCAATGTCGAAAAAAACTTACAATTTCTGGTTCTCATCATTAAATCTTCTATTAAAGGGAATGGCTGAGCCTGTGGAACAACTATTTTGTTCAACTCTCTGAAATCAACACACAATCTAGATTTCTTATTTTCTGATTTTTTGAAAGCTAATGTAACAGGTGCAGCAAAGGGGCTGTAGGATTCTTCTATAAGTTTATTGTCTAATAATTTTGCTATTTGTTGCTCTATTTCTTTTTTATCATCTATGGTGCATTTATATGGTCTTTTACTACAGTATTTATCTATTAACAAGTCAATTCTCGCTTCATAACCTTTGACCATTCCAATGTCATACTTATCCTTCGCAAACACACATTTGTAATTGCATATCAGTGTATTTATTGTTGACTTTTGATCAGGGTTTAAATTATTCATATTTAATTCGAAATCCTCTGTGTTTATATATTCATTAAAATTAATTAAATATTTCACTGGTATTTTATTTTCTACTTGAATTTGTTCCAACGGGTCAACCTGTTTAAAAACCTCTTTGCTTTGCTCCTCTAGTTTTGTTGTGTAAAACTGTTTTTGAATAATTTTCAAATCTTCAGTTTGAATTAATTTAAATTTCTTGATTAAATCTAATCCAATCAAAAAGTTATATCTAAAATTATCTTCATCAATAATATAAACATCTACTGTTTCTTCAATATCAAATATTTTTATATTCAAAGAGGTCAAACCACTTGTTTTTTTAACACCATTAATTGTTACTAAATCAGCTTTGTTGAAATTATTTTCAGTTTTATTTACTTTTAAAAGTTTAGAATTTATTAAAGAAACATTGGAACCTGAATCATAGATTCCATCTATTAGTAATTTATTATTTATTAAAAGTTTGACATAAATTAATGGTGTTACTATTAGTTTTTTTCCTCAGATTCATTTAACTTTGCTTCTATTACGGAATTGTTTACATGCTTGATGTTATACCTCTTCGTTTTTTCATCTTCCTTTGACTTGAACCAACATACCGCCTCAGAATGATACCTTATTCCTTTATTAGACTTCTCACACGTTTTGCATGGTTGTTTTCCCTCATTGTAATAATTATTATTTTTTGGGTAGTAATTGTTTTTCCTCCTCACTATATAACTTTTCTTATTTACCATATGTTCATATTTATGAATCTCGTTAAAAAGTTCTACCGTGTCCTTTAATTCTTCCCTATCAATTTTGTTCATTACATATTCTGGTAAACCAAAAACAATAAGGTCAATTAAGGTACCTTTGTCTATTGTTCTCCTCATATCTAAAAGAAGACTTTCCTTTTTTAAGGCATAATCCAACAAAGAGCCATCTTGATATTTAAATTTCAAAGCATACGCTACAGGATTCCATCCTTTGCTTGCAAATGTTTCACAAAATTTGGTTTTCCATATTAACCACTCAGAATCCATTGTATATTTAATAAACATAGAATTGTACCAGTCATTGCAACTTTTATCCATTAGTAGTCGTAGCATCTCAATTTTCTTACTATCTGATGTGACTTCAAAGCGCTCACATTCTTTTTCAAAAAACTCAATCCACTGATTTGCATTGGTATGTTTGCTAGAAAACTTGTCAATAACAAACCTTTCCGCTGTGTAGCTTAAGTTTTGTGGCTTATTTCCTTGGGTATTGATTAATATCTTTTCCAATAATTTTTCTAATGTTTGAGTCTCTTTTGGTTCAAACTGAGATTGATTTTCTTCCAAATATTGGTCCGAAAATTGAAGATTTCCCTCTTCATCCATGTATACATTTTTCATTTCTTTTGATAATGTTATCCACACCTTTCTTGTCTGATGTCTTTTTTTCAGACTATTTTTTACTTTACTATAAGCCGGACACTTAATTAACTCTGTATGCATGCTAGCTATCTGGAGTTCCTGTGGCAAGATGTATATTCTTCCATCCGTTGTCATTATAGATATTACATGAACAACATTGCTTTTACCATCTCCCATTAGTTGAAATTCAAAATTCAATTTATCCATTTTATCCAAAATAAAAAATTTGTTGTTTTATAAGGAGATCGATTATGATTTTTATGCGAAATAAAACGTGTTGTTGCTTTAATCTGAAAGATTTAATGTTCTTGTTATTTAACAATCTAAACTTACACAAACTACTACAACAATTTTAATATAAAAAGAATTACCTGAAAGAAACAACAAATTAAGTTATTTCGGCAATCTTATAAGAACAATCTTATTAATAACAATGGTAAATTACTTATTTATAGATTGTAAAGAATTTCACTTCATCACTCCATTCACGATAAAAACCCGCCATCTTGACATTATGCGTGACGTTACACCACGTCACACATAATGTCAAATCTTTAGAATTTGCGGGAAATTTAAATCCTCTTACATATAGAGTAATCTCAGGGACTACTGGTTCGAGTTAAAAAAATATGTTTGTGTTGCATTTATCAAATAAGGCTTTAAGCTATATAAGAGCGACTAAACAGTGGAAAATAACGGTTAACGGAGAAAATTATTCAGGCCGAATTTTTACGATTACCTTTAAGATTAACTCGCAGGGTCCATTTTTGTAGTTATCAAATTTGGCCGAACTTAATGCATTGTTACCAATTATTTGTTAGAATTGCATCAACATCGTAACATTACTCTTGTAATCAATAACGTTTACCGGATCAGGTACTTCTTAAATAAAAATTAATTTATATGAAAGTATATTTTTATATAATTTCAGAGTGGCGAAACCCCACTACACATGGCGTGCCGTAGTTGCAAACCAGATATTGTTCGGCATTTAATAGAATTCGTGAAAGAACACAAAGGCGAAAAGGTCGCCCCATTATACATCGACTCAGTGGATGAAGACGGAGCCAGTGCTTTACATTTCGCTGGTCAGATAACTAAAGAAGAAGTAAAAGTACCTTCAGCTGACCGGGTGGTAGTTAAATGTCTAATGCAAAATGGGGCAGACGTGTCTCTTCAGACGAGGCATAATCAAGAAACCGCATTTCACTTTTGCGCTATCGCTGGAAATAATGACGTTCTTACTGAAATGATCACCGATATGTCGACCGCAGATGTAAGTAGAGCATTAAATAAACAAAATTCAATTGGCTGGACGCCGTTGTTGATTGCCTGTAACAGAGGACACATGGAACTTGTCAGTACATTGCTATCTAATCACGCTAGAGTTGATGTATTCGATGTTGAAGGTAGATCAGCGTTACATCTAGCCGCTGAACATGGATACTTACAAGTCTGCGACGCATTGTTGACGAATAAGGCATTCATAAATTCTAAAGCACGGAACGGCCGGACCGCATTACATTTAGCGGCGATGAATGGTTATGCACATTTGGTAAAATTTTTGATTAGAGATCATAACGCCGTTATCGACGTATTGACTTTGAAAAAACAAACCCCTCTACATTTGGCAGCTGCCAGTGGCCAAATAGAAGTTTGCAAACTGTTACTTGAACTCGGTGCCAACATTGATGCTACAGATGAGTTAGGCCAAAAGCCGATACACGCTGCGGCTCAGAATAACTTTTCAGAAGTTGTTCAATTGTTTCTTCAACAACATCCGAACCTAGTGATGGCGACCACTAGGGATGGTAATACGTGTGCCCACATTGCCGCTATACAAGGTTCAGTTAAGGTGATCGAAGAACTAATGAAATTCGACAGATCCGGAGTTATATCGGCTCGGAATAAGTTAAACGATTCGACTCCGTTACAATTAGCTGCTGAAGGAGGTCACGCAGATGTCGTACGCGTTTTAGTTAGAGCTGGAGCGTCCTGCACTGATGAGAACAGAGCTGGGTTGACGGCAGTCCACTTGGCAGCTGAACATGGCCATACTAATGTTTTGGATGTTATGCGATCAACTAATACATTGAGAATATCGAGTAAAAAATTAGGATTGACGCCACTACATATAGCTGCATATTACGGCCAAGCAGGTGATTACAATATATACAAAATAATGTGTTGAAACAATATTCTGTTTTCACAAAGCAACGATAAATAAATATACCTTTCAGAAACGGTTCGAGAACTATTATCACACGTGCCCGGAACTGTCAAATCGGATGCTCCAACGGGGGTATCATTAGTTCCAATATTGGGAGCGGAGTCTGGCTTGACCCCGCTACACTTAGCTGCTTACAATGGTAACGAAAATGTAGTGAGGCTGTTACTTAACTCAGCGGGAGTTCAAGTTGATGCAGCGACTAATGAGAATGTACGTAATTTTTGCTTTTGGTTTAATTATCTAAAAATAATGGTAAATAAAAGTTTAAATACACAATCTGTATATTCGATTTTTTTTATTTCAGGGCTACAATCCATTGCATTTAGCTTGTTTTGGTGGACACATGTCTATTGTCGGTCTTTTACTCAGTAGATCCGCAGAATTACTTCAAAGCACCGACAGACATGGGAAAACGGGGCTACACATAGCTTCAACGCACGGCCATTACCAAATGGTAGAAGTCCTTCTCGGTCAAGGAGCTGAAATTAATGCAACGGACAAAAACGGTTGGACGCCTTTACACTGTGCGTCAAAAGCCGGATATCTAAACGTTGTTAAGCTCCTATGCGAATCGGGCGCTTCGCCTAAAAGTGAAACGAACTTGAACTGCGCCCCTATTTGGTTCGCGGCGTCAGAAAATCACAATGATGTCTTAGAATATTTACTACATAAAGAGCATGACACACAATCGTTGATGGACGATAAAAAGTTCATTTACAACCTTATGGTGTGTTCAAAGAACCACAATAACATACCGATCGAAGAGTTTGTTTTGGTCTCTCCAGCACCTGTTGATACAGCAGCCAAATTATCTAATCTTTATATTAATTTATCAACCAAGGTAAGTTTCAAATATAGCTAAGTGATTGTTCTCTTTAAATTACGATGTTCTGAAAATACAATCTTGGCTACAGGAAAAGGAGCGTGCCAAAGACCTAATAGCTGCAGGCAAGCAATGCGAAGCCATGGCTACGGAATTGCTTGCTTTAGCAGCTGGAGCTGATTCTGCGGGCCACATTCTAACAGCGACGGATAATAGAAATATTGAATTTTTAGATGTTCTTATTGAAAATGAGCAAAAAGAAGTGATAGCGCACACTGTCGTCCAAAGATATCTTCAGGTAAAAAATAGGTAACTTCACCTATTACATTCGATAACGAAAACAATTCGGGCGGTTATAAATACATATGTCACTTTTATAAACTTCTACGTGTTTAATAAATATTTTAGCAAAATTGTTTTCCTTTTATATTCTTTAAGTAAATAATCAATCGCAAAACGATAACAAACCGGCTTACAGTGGCAGTACCGAAAATTTGTATTTAAGTTACCCAAGGACATAATTAAGTAACTTTGTTACAGGAACTCTGGCGGGGAAGCCTCAAATGGACAGGCATCAAAATAATGTTTCTCTTTTTCATCTTTATAATTTGTCCGCCAGTTTGGCTTATATTTTCTCTTCCACTAGGCCATAAATATAATAAGATACCTATAATAAAGTTCATGTCCTACTTGACGTCCCATATTTATCTAATGATATTATTAGCTTTAGTGGCTATAACGCCTATATATAATTCGATATTTAGAGAGAGCTTAGTCCCAAGATGGTACGAGTGGATATTACTTATTTGGTTAAGTGGCCTTCTTTTGTTCGAACTAACGAATCCCAGCGATAAATCAGGATTGGGGTGGATTAAAATTGCTGTTCTACTATTAGGAATGGTGGGAGTCGCGACCCACGTTGTGGGCTGGATATTCGTTTTACCCAAGTATTGGCCGACATTAATGTATTGTAGAAATCAGTTCTTCGCCTTATCATTTCTTTTGGCTTGTGTACAAATTTTGGACTTCTTGTCTTTCCACCATTTATTTGGACCTTGGGCTATTATAATAGGAGATCTTATGAAGGATTTGGGAAGATTTTTAGCTGTACTAGCGATATTCGTTTTTGGTTTCTCAATGCATATTGTAGCATTGAACCAGCCGTTCAGAAATATAAATAAACCAGAAGACAACAAATACGCCAGAACTGCGAGGAGAAAACTGTTCTCAGACGGTAAGGGCTTCGTTTTGTCTTTTGATCTCATTGTCATAAGCATTAACATACACGATAACTTTGATACAAATCATCACACATCCGCATTTAAAAATGGAGGTATTAAAAACTCAAACAGTTGGACTATTCTTGCAATAGAAAGTCTTCGAATGAAACGACAGACATGGACGGTCTCTGGGGAATCATACCGACGAAAACAAGGTCAAGTGGGCCGTAAGTGATAGAGAATATAATTCATTGTGAGAATTTGTAGATGACACCCTCTTAGCAGTATCATCCATACGGTCTACCTCAGTGTGCTTCGACACTTATTTGTGTGCCATCAGCTTACAGGCTTTACTGTGTGTCGTCATTCGGGAATGTTATCATCATCAGTGTGAATACAATAAAAGTTTTTTACATGTACAACATCGACAAACGATCTAATTCAAATATGTGTACCATAATATACACGACTATCATATTTTATAACACGTTTGGTGTCAAGTGTTGTAAGCTATGATAGGATTTTTTGTTAGAAATAGATAAGTGTTATTTATTAGGCGTATAATTTATATTCTGTGAATGTCTCTCGACCGGGAGAGGTAACGTTGTGTACCGCCACTTTCAGATATACACCCAGAGTATATGTTATACGCCCACTTAGTTTTAGTGGAATGAGTGGCCGACTTCACCGCATTTGATGGAGCATATGATTTGCGCATGCCGCGGTTGGCTTTTCCTACGTTTGTCACCGATGTCTTGTCCGCATCTGTTCGGATGAGTTTGGCTAATGTCTTCGTTGTGGCGATGTTCGCCCACGCTGGTATGTCGCTACACTGGTAGATGGGACTGGGGTATATTGATGCAGGCACGTTTTTGTTTATATATATTGTGTCTCAAGATGTATCTGCTGCGCGAGTGGTACACGTGTGTCCCCTCGTGACTAAAGGTACTGAAAATCGTAATTCAAAAATGTTGTCGCGTTTTATTTAGTATTCTGTCTCATAAAGATCCAATACAAGTAAACATCACACACACCTATTGTATATCAAGTGGAATTCAGTATTTATTTGTAATATATCAATCTACCCCAACCTACACACATTAGAATTCTACAGTCACTTTTCATAATTCTGTACCATACAGTTATCACTTTTTGAGACATGATATACAAACCACTAGATTTCTGTTAGCATAATGTTTTGGGGTAATTTGATGCAAAGCCTGCCTCAACATACCCCCTCGGTGTTAACCGAAACGACGTCTATTCGCGTGTTGGTTTCTAGCGACTTTGTCACCCGTCGAGGCGTTGGAGAAATTGTTCTTTGCCCTTTTCGGCCAGACCACTCTGTCAGACCTGAACTACATATCGAGTGTGCGACCTCTCTGGACACAGAACCTCTTCAAGTTCGTCTTCGGTGGCTACTTGTTAATGTCTGTGGTGGTGCTCATAACGCTCCTCATTGCGATGATGTCGGACACTTACCAACGAATCCAGGTAAATCTGCTGTCACTCGCAAACGATTGTCCACAGTGACCATGAACCCGGTGTTCTCGTTCGAGTTGCTGTTCTTCGCGGTCTTCGGGCAGACGACCACGGAGCAGACGAGGGTGCATCGCAACGACAGTAACACCCAACCGCAATGGACGAACTACTTATTCAAAATTGTGTTTGGAATTTACATGTTGGTGTCCGTCGTTGTTTTGATCAACTTGCTGATTGCTATGATGTCTGACACATATCAAAGGATACAGGTATTTGTCAATGTTCATTTGTATCGCTGCTGTATTAATACTTACTCCCTATCATTAAGTTCCTGAGTTAGAATCGCGGTTAAACAAATGAATAGGCCGAGCTCAGACCTGCCAGTAAATATAATCGAATTTATTACATTTATTTATTAGTTGAACTGATCAGAACTGCTCTACAGATGAAAAAGAGGATTTCACGTTATATTAAAGGCAGAAATTAACACACCTCCAATCTGACATCACTTGAACGTGTACAAATTATATTTACAGGCGCAATCAGACATCGAATGGAAGTATGGTCTATCGAAACTTATCCGAAACATGCATCGAACAAACACAGCCCCGTCGCCGTTGAATCTCGTCACTACGTGGCTTATGTGGTTAATCCATCGCTGTAGGGTAAGTTACCTAGTAAAATAGGATCAAGAAAACGATATTATAGATGGCAATTATACTAAAGAGAAAATATTACCACTATGTTTTCGAGTTATATTTCTAAGACGTAGTTTCTAGTTAATAGAATTGTTTTCAAAAACAACTTCGTTTTAATAAGAAGTACTAAGCAAAGTACTATGTTATGTACGTAAAGGATGAAAATATAAAATTAAAACACATAACCTACATTGAGTAGAAAAATCAAATACTCGTGTAAGTTTTCTAGAGTGACAAGCAAAATTTAAAATTGTGTAAATAATGACAGGAGCGCCTGACAAAGAAGAAACGTCCGAGCTTAGTGCATATGATCGGGTTGCAGAGACAAGATCAGATGAGTGCTAGGTCTAAAGCCGGTGCCAAGTGGCTGTCCAAGGTCAAAAGAGGCCAAGTGGTACCTAAAGGTAAAGATAAATAAAACTAGAACTTATAAACTTACTAACCTTCTTACAGACAGGTTGAATTAAAAAATTAATAAAACACTCAACTTTTACAGACTCCACTCGCCTCTCTGTCGTTCATCTCAGTCCACTTGGCTCCCAGCTGAGTTTCAACAACATGACGAGAATAGAGAATGTGGTCGATTGGGAAATCATAGCCAAGAAGTACAGAGCCCTAACGAGAGACGAGCCAGAAGACCCAGTCGCCAAGGACAGCGACGCAGATACAGCTGAGAGTGAATCGGAAATCGTACCAAACAACATCGCTGCGGTCCCGCCCTGAACAACCAGCCAAGTAGTGCTTTTGGACTGAAAAAATACAATTGTTAAGCTATCGTGCTTGTAAATATAAAATACACAACAAGAATATTTCTCTTCTCGCGAATTGAATATGCATTTGGAATTTCAAGAAACCAACTTGACTCTCTTTATCTGAATAAAACGATAGCGTTCTGTTAATTTGAATACATTTTGATAAAACTGTACAAACTAGGTACATTGAGATAGCGTTAAACATTTTAGCATTATTATTTTGTTGCTTTAGCGTTTATCATTGGTCTACTTATATACCAAATAGAAATCCCTTCTATATATAAAAATATATAAAGGCTCTGAACGCGTAAATTCATTAATCAAAGAATTTGCAAATACTTAGAAATCGTTAAATTAGGAAATTGTCAGTTTACGTCACGAATTTTCATGTTTCGATTAAAGTGAAAAACATCATCATAATGTAAAATTAATTAAACGATCGGATACTTGTACTTAACTTGCAAATTCCATACTATATGTACGTAAGTTATTTACTCAAATGTTTTACCATTAAATGAAAACGGCTTAACCCAAGTTTGACTATCATACATAATACCAACATTTTTTTTTTACACAATACTTGTATAACTCCCTTTCCTTATCGACAATGTATATAACACGGAAGTAAAGAAAAACGGACATTTCAAATAGAAGTATTTCAGTTTGCGTCTATTCATTAATAATAAGATAAAATTGTACATAGTGTAAACTTTATTTGTGTACGTATGGTTTTAAATAAAATGGCTATTAAAAAAAAACATTTTATTGCCCTCGAATATGTCTCTTAAACATATGCAATAAGTGAAAACGCACTTAAGAAAGAAAAAGTTACACAAGACTCGAACCCACGCCCTAGCATGTAAAGATCGAAACTATACTTTGCGCTAGCAGTTTGATAAACCTTTATAATACTGTATTTTACATTTATGTATATAAGACCCCGACAAATAATAATAATAATTCTTAAAACGCAACTATAAAATTCCAGAAGTAAAATAACTTACGTAAAAAACTTTAGAAAAAAGAAATAATTACACTTATAGCATTGAACTGAGCAGGAGTGCTAATTAGAATTCATTTGTTTTTGACTTGAAACAATTATGATAAATATTGTAATGAAGGAAAAAACTTTCCTTATATATGTACACTTCCCTTTACTTTGTGTAATTCCTTTTTGAGACAGTAAATTATATTTATACCGTCAACGGAACACTCGCGCGGTTTATCATGTTTGTTCAGCTCTTCTTGGTGTTTTTCTGTAAGTTGTTAACGCGATATCGAATTGAAGGAAATAATTCCATTTACATTATTTAAGTTAATTGTGACCTTTCAGGGTATCTTAAGGTAGAAGGTGCGACCCTGTGGTGCTATAAAAGGTATTTTCCGTTTTGGGTTATCAAATTTAAAATACATACAGAATACACTTGTAAAATTCCAACCTGCGACCACACTGCGCTGTATCGCCGTAACGACTGCGTTACCGTTTCTCGGTCGTATTCGCCGAATTTTAATTTATAAAATTATTTTTAGATGTACGTTCTTATATATAAAAATTACAAATATTTTTTGGATTAGAGTAGGACCGACAAGCAAGTGTTTCCTTTGGTGAAAGGTGAATACTGCAATTAATAATTTTTATCTGCACAGTGCACGCGTGACCCGAACGCATATCTATATCCTAACCGACCGTTGGATATTTAGTATACCAAAATTTTCCCAACGAAAACCAACATTTAAAAAAAAATCGAAATTGTTAAGAAACAAATTGGACCCGTTGCGCATGGCACTCACGATCTGTTAATAATGAACCTGGCAAAAAAATAACTGCAAGATAGTATAAATCGTTCATTTAAAAACTTTATTATTTTTTACATGTTATTTCACATGAAGGCACTATATACTCGGACTCGGTAGCTCAATTGGTAGAGCAACAGCACGGAACGCTGACGATGCCGAATCAAGTCCTGCCCGACTCGAATTTTTTTTCAATTTATTTACGATTTTAAAATTATCGTTCATTTGAGTTCATAATCATGGATTTTTAATGTTTATGTCTAGTCTAGTGATTTTAAATAGTGCTGAAGGCAACTAGCTGAAAATTTAAACTTATTCGTAAAAAATATTATTGTTTAATAATTTCAATGTCTTTGTAAGATGCGAGGTGGATCAAGAATACATAATTATTATTATATTAGGTTACATCGTACGGTTGGAATTATAATGACTAGATTAAAAATTACTTCATAATTGGTTTCTGTCAAATTAAAGAAAAAATATCATAGACTATAAGGCATATTTTCAGATTTCATTGTATAAATATAATAAACTTTCGTTTATTACCATAATACTCTGTGACTTTTCAGTGACAACGACTACACAAAAACGGAGTTAATTCTACCGAAGGATCTTTTGGCGTCTGAATATTTCAATAAGAATCTTAGGACTGTGATATACACTTTCGGATTCAGAGCTTCAACAAACGGTTCGATCACAAAAGACGTTGTGAAAGCCTACAATGATTACAAGAAGGAAAACGACATCAATTTCTTATTGCTCGACTGGGAAAAGGAAGCCAACAGCGGGTTAGGGGGCGTCATACTCGAATATCCAACGAGTGGCGTTTTAAATGCCAAAACGGTGGGTAATTAACATTAGAAAAACTTCAGTGCTGTCTGTAGTTTATGCAAACAGTAAACATTTAAAACAAAACGGTTTCAAACGCAAAATACATTCAATACAATTGTTTACCAAATTATTTTTAAATACGGCCCGAAATAAGTTGAACTAAATACGTTTCGCGTTTTATTTGAATGTGTACTAATCGCGTAAATTACAGACAGTTTGAGTAAAACTTATTTACAAATTATATAACCAAACACTTACTACTACGAAACTCGATCTTAAGTCTCCTTGTGAACACGGCTTCTGAAATAGCATTCGAATTGTCAGGGCCCATTAAAATAATTTATAAATAAGCTTAGCTAATACATTTCGCGTTTGAAACCGTTGAAAGTTTTTTATTTAATTTGAAAATTTGTGATTTAATATAAAACTTCTAGCAATATTTGAATAATAGTAATAATGCATTTTTATTACAGTGTGTTTACTGTAATAACAATGACATGGAACGTATTTGAAACGATAAAAATAATTTCAGTACAAACAGCCTGCGTTCGCTAAGTTCCGATCTATCTTAAATACTTTGTTATACTACTCGATTTGTACAAGAGCTAATTTAATTTAATTTACTTGCTCACTGAATGAATACAATATGTACACAGATTGGGAAGGAGTTGGGAGATAACCTACTGGTACTGTCAGACAATGGTGTTAATTTGGGTGACGTGCACTTGATAGCACATTCCTTGGGGGCACATCTCATGGGCTATGCTGGTAAACGAGTCAATCAGAAGAAAAAGTCCATTGGAAGGTTTGAAAGTCAGCTAAAAAGCTTGAGTTTGTTTAATGCGCTACTCTTAGAAACTACGGGTTCGAATTGAATTGTGGTCGTTTGAGCATTTATCGGGGAAGGCCATAAAATATCGTTGTGACTAAGAAAGAAGAGAAAAACAGAGGGAAATGTGAAAAGGAGACGAGGAACATTATTCATGTTTGTAGGTTTCAGATGCGTATACGCAACAAAAAACGGTTAAAGAAACCAAAAAAATATGTACAAGATAATGAAAAAAATATGTAAAAGATAATTCTTCTTTAAATGATCAAAATAGAGTTCGCGATACTATTTGTCTATCTTTTAAAATTAACTTGCAAAAACGACGTTGTGGGCAACAGCGTAGATTTATAATTATGCAAAAACAAATTTGGATGAACATGGCAACTAGAATAGTCGCGGACAAAGTCGCTGACACAGCTAGTTAACATATAAAATACAAATTGCTTAACGATTTCGTAATGTGATATGTAGGATTACCACATTTTAGAATAACTGGCTTAGACCCAGCTGGGCCTTTGTACACGGGGCCTATATCGATAGAAGGCCTACGGAAGGGTGATGCGACGTTTGTAGATATCGTTCACTCGAATCCCGGATTATACGGAACCTCAGACAGCGATGGTGACGTTGATATATGGACAAACTGCGATATGCTGCGACAACCTGGATGTCCGAATAAAACTTCTAATTTTTTCAGCGAGGATGGTAGGTATCTATTTACACTTAAAAAAGAGTGTAGAGTACATGTAAGTAAAAGATTTTTGTAAATAAATATACAATTCAACATAACTGTAAAGCTCAAATCAGCTGAAAGCTGTAAGAAACAATCAGTTGGTGGATTTTGTAAAGAATCCTAGTCAAATCATCACATATCCACATTATAACAACACATACATATTAACACACCCACATTTAAAACACGCATTTTATCAATTGATTAAATGATATAAGAAATAAGAACTCTTTAAAGTTACGCGAGTGAAATAAAACACTTCTAACGGTTTTATATGCGAAATTACAGATGTCTTTTTGCAACCATATCCTATTACAATGGGAGCTCGCTGAATTAATTACTTTTAAATGTATTTTAACCCGTTATTTTTTGTCTGTACGCTTATATTCCAGACGATACTATAAGTCTAAAACAGTATTGTAATTTCAGACCGCTGCAGCCACGACCGCGCGCCTTTGTACTTTGTTGAAACACTATCATCACCGTCCGCTTTTGCAGCTGTAAAGGCAGATAATTGCAACGAATGGAAGCTGATGACCGACAAAGAGGGAGACACCAGCAGCGAAATTGTATATATGGGTTATCAAATTAATACAGAGTAAGTTAACGTTATTGGAAAACACGCTGAAAAGGTTCAATCGTCGAAAAACATAATATCTATATACAATAGTGTTGAAACAAATAAACAGTACCAGCTCGCAAACTGAAATCCGTGTCAGCATTACAAAAAACAGAAGCAGTTTCCCCTTGCTGCAAGACTTCAGCCTAGTTACCTCTAATTTCGTCAATAACATAGTCTGTAGTCTGCGCTTATCCCAATTGTTCAAATGATATTGTAACCGAAGTAATACAAATTACGGCTCAAGATAGCAAACACCTGGAATCACAAATTAAAAACACTGAATCTCAAGATCAGCATACTGGTCCACGAGAGGACGCTGTAAGTCAATTTTTTAAGGACCACATCTTCCAAATAACAACTATTTTTTTTTTATATTATTATATTATTTTAACATTAAAGACACCCTCCATGTTCAGTTCCTAGTGCCTACGACTACTGTTAAAAACTCTAAAACGTGTACTATTCGTGTAAACTACAGACAATAATAACATTTTATATAACGCTGTAGGGGAACTTGGTATTAGCTTTGTAATGTATTTTTTTTCCAGAGCAAAAGGAAACTTCTACTTAAGGACAAATTCAAAGTCTCCGTATGGGAAAGGGCTTGACGGGATTTATCCATGAAAGAAATAAAATTGTGGATTCGTCATGTACCAACCACCACTGAACGACACTTGTTTGATTTATGTCTTGAAAACAATTACAAAATATTAATTTTTATTTGCAAATTCTGTGCAATTAAAATTGCCCATCTTACAACCAGTCTCAACTAATTTCTGTTATTTTATTGTATTCTATCTCGCTGAGACCTATTTCTAATTTTCTGAGACCTGGGAGCAGTTAATGATATAAACTAAAAAAAAACCAGTTCGTCTTATGGTAGCAATGTATGGCTAACAGTCAGTTAGTTGTGGGACTAAACAATTGATAATATTTTTTTTGACTTGTCTTTGTGTATTAAATGGCTGGTAGGTATATCGAAGTTCCGTGCCGCATCGAAAAAGCCGTGATGTTGATTGGAGAAGATATATTCCTTCGCATAACTTCTGAGCAATTTTATTTAGTGTAGAAACTCTAATATTACGAAAGGAGTTTTCCTCCCATTTGATAAGTATTCCAATTTTCCATTGCAGTTGAAAACCAACGTCACTTACACATAATCATTTCTAAGCAGAAAAATGTTAATTTAAGAAGTCTAACCCGCACATCTACGTTCGCAAAAAACGACATTCGTAATTGGATCAACGGATATATATGAAGACCCGTATTCGCCAACTGCATTTTCTAGATAACCACTTGATTGACTGCCTAATTGTTCGAATAGATAGGTCCATCCATGGAGCACCTTCAAATTATCTACTGTTTTCACAGTAGGGATACGATATCACCCGCTTAGTCGACAACCTTTTAAAATTGTTTAAGTTTATTATACATATAGTGGAAATAATTACTCGTACCTATAATTTGAGATTGATTTACTATGTTATTATCTGTGGTTTAAAATAAAATAGAATAACGTAACGAGAGGACTCCGTGGTTCAGTTCTGTAAGTACAAAGCTAGTTTCTCCAAATATCAATTACGACAGAACAGATGGCGCTAGCGTCACAGTTTGACATTAGAACACCTTGCATTATTTAGTCTCAACGGGTGCTGTAAAGCATCCGAAACGTCAGGCCGTAGTCAAAATCAATCATAAATAAGTTTAACTAATGCATTTTAAACCGTTTAAAGTGTTTTATTTACGTGTGTACTAATACGTAAACTACAGGCAGTATAGGACACCCTCGATTTTCAGCACAGCACGTTGGGAACTGGGCACTGTTGGGAAGCGTCCGAAACCTCAAGTCATCAGTTTGGAATTACACTTTGACAGTTTGGCGTTTCTCATCTTACACAAATTCGGTTCTTTAATGTTTTCTAAAAACATGTTTGATCAACATCCAAAGGGAAGTGGAGTACATATCTTTAAATATAAGATGATGATCATAAGTAGGCATTTGACATAGATTGATACGGCTTGTCGACCACGCTATAAAAACTTATCACTGCGTACTTACCTTCATTGACAAAAATTCGACGACACCTTGATCTAAATTTCAACTTGCTAAAACGTTTAATAGCATGTACATAAGAAATGAAAAGTCGTATAAAATTACCATACAATGTATTAATCCTTGCTAATATTATAAATGCGAAAGTAACTCTATCTGTCTGTTAATCTTTCACATCAAAACTACTGAACGGATTTGAATGAAATTTGGTACACATATGTTCTAGACCCTGAGAAAGAACTACTTTTTATTCCGAAAAGGGGGTTGTAAGGGGTTAAAAGGGGAGGTAAAATTTTGTATGGAAATTCGTGGTATTTGAAGATAGAACATTGAAACTTTCTTCTTTGGCTCTTTGAGAATAGGAGTGGGATTGGGAGTGGAAGTGAGAGTGAGAGTGGGAGTTAGAGTAGGAGTGATGTGAGTTGAGAGTGTTGCGGCAAAGTAGTACTTACAACATAGATTGGCTACGATAAATAAGCAATTACATAAATTAATAAATAGCCTACATAATTAAAAATTCTACCCTAAATCCAACGAACGAACGAAGTCGCGGGCACCGCTAGTATTATTATATTTAGAAATGACTAATTAAAAATGCTAATTGGTATTTATGAAATTGTCTGTACTTAAACGCAAGTAGGTACACGAAGTTCACTGATTTTCATATAAAATATTTAGTATAAGTTTTAAGTATGAAAATTCAAACCTATTCCTATATTATACACATAAGGTACTAAGTTTCATCTTTAACCTTGCGGAGCGCGCGCGGAGTTTTGTAACGGTATGGGGCGCACGTGGTCGAAAAGACCTTCAGTATTAAAGAAAAAAAAATTGTTCATAAATATTGCTCATTTTGAGAAACATTCTTAATTCTCTAAATGTGATTTTTTAATAACTTAATATTAGTCGAAACTACATACATACAATTTTTATTTATTATTAATAATTATATACTACAAACATCCTATTATACACATATTTCATAGAGTGATGTTTTGTCAATTCAGCCAAGCTGCAATTAAAAATGTCGATCCCCAAAAGGGGATCTGCAAGAGCAGCTTATTGATAACATAAGCTGCAAGAGGGACATTTGTAGCTCCGCGTTAGTTAAACTACAGATTGCTTCGGAATTGAATGAAAGGACCCCTAAGTCGTTCTTGGCGTATTTATTGAATTGTAACACTTTTTCCAACTAGTTCAATAATTTAATTTTTAATGCCTCTATAAAAAAATAAAGCTCTATATTCGGCAAGAGGCACGCGGGCAATTAATTGCAATAGTTATTGGGTGGGTAGCAAACAACTGCAAACTTCTAAGGATTCCACAGAAAATCGTCAAAAATTAATCATTAGCGATAGTGCATCACATGCGGTCTATTAGACGATGCGCGACCATTTGAGGGTTAATATATTGCATACAAGATATGGGTAAAGCAAGCGTATGCTCAAACTTGGATATACAAATTTGGACAACCGGAACACTTTAGCTAAAATGGTAGAGCATGGGACGCTGTTTTCTCGGGTTCGAGTTCCGCCGGTGTCAAAGCAATCGTACGCAAAAATCGTAAGCAAACATGTTTATATATTGTTAAACGGTAATTAGCAACTGAATGTTGACATCTTCTAGTGTTGCAATTAACATGCTTTCATATTATGCAAATCCGTCGTTACACTTCATTCCGACAGTAAGGTTTTTCAACCTTCGATTCTCCGCGACACTGTGGTCATCACGGTCATTGAAAACTATTAACTATTGTTGACCAATATAAATTATATAACGACCTCGTCCAAACATTATGAGGTAATTAATTTGATCGTTCCAATTTTAATGTTCCCCTCTGGCCACAGGTGTCAAAGCAGAAAAAGTTAGCAACCACGAAACCCAAATGCCAGTGGACGGCATGGTGGTGGGGTCACCTCCTACTTCCAAACTTCGCGCATCAGGATTTCAACTAGACATTTTCTTAAAAATAGTAAACCGAGCTAACATTTTCCAAAATTCGAACGCTTGTATTTACGGTCGAGATAGATCACTCGACCAACGAGGCAGTTTGTTTTATACGTGCTTATTATTATAAAAACGGCCTAGTTAGTATCAAACTAAAGTTCGACGAATTCCGTATTATATCCGTTAAATATAAAAATGAGCAAATTAATCTAATATCTTGTAGCAGCTGTTTTGAGATATTTTATTGCTAAGAAGCAAAAGAAATACATACTTAAAAAAAAAACACTTTAACCGTGGTACACGGCTGTTGCAAAGCATCTGAAAGTCAGGCCTAGTAAAAATGATTTCCAAATAAGTTTACCTAATCGCGTTTAAACCCGTTAAAGTGGTTTATTTAAATGTGTACTACTCGCGTAAACTACAGACATTATTATTATTATCAATGTCAAGGTACAGCCTGGGTAGACGGACAAACACCAGGGCTTTATTCTTTAGGTAACCTAAGCCTAGCAATAAAAACAATAAAATCATTCCAGAGGAACGAAGAGAAATAAGTAGTCAATATTTATTATTACTGACCTTCTTTAAAATAACTATGTTTCAGGAATTAAATTGCCTCGTAAAAACGTGCTTGGAAGATACCGCTTGTAAGTTGATAAGACCGCATTGAACTTAATTCTATTGTGTACAACTTTAAATAAATGTATTTCATCCGCTCTACGAGATAACGACTGAAATAAGAGGCTTCGTCCCAAGGCGTCGTTATCAATACACTAATCACGTCCCCTGACGTTACGCGATACGCGCCGCAAAATATTCAGCGCCACTTGTTACGATATAGGGCGTGATTGTATTATCATTCCAAACGTCCGCTTTAGCACGCGTGCCATAGGATTGAGTGACAATGTGCAAAACACTATGGACCCTTCTATTTTTAACCGGTTAGTATAAAAAAAAAATACTGTATTTAACAATGTAATTTTTTTTATAGAATTTTCAAAAACAAATTCTTTTCTTGTCTTTTCTCTATTTCGCGCCAGCCTTACTAGACTTTTTTGGAATTTTGCGAATATCTTGAGTCCGATTTTAATTAACTAATGAACTTGCTCCCGTTGTCCACAAAAGACATTGCTCTCACTTTTAAAATTCAAAATTGCTCAATCTTTTTAATCATGACATACATATTAAAAACGCGTGTTTTAATCGAAAGTTCTTTAAATATTTTTGTGGTATGTGTATGTTAATAGTGGGATATAGAGAATTCAATTTATATTTCAGGCATTTTTCAAATAAGTGAATTGGCAACTCTGCGCTGTTATGAAGGGTAAGTCATTTGTTAAATTTTAAATCGGAGTTATTTTAAAAGCAATAAGGAGTTTAATGTCAGAAATAGTGATACAGATAAGTAAGATAAGCACAATTTAAAGTTTAAAAGTAATATAACATTACGAACATAGGTGATCCACTTTGAGACCGATGCCCCCCGTGGAGCATCCCTAATTTAGCTACAAAAATATTCGTTTAGTAGACAGTAATCTAAAGAAACGCGTGTAAAACAATTTACGATCTATCGTAAATACTCGTTTAGTATTATTTATTGCAGTTGTCAAAGCTTTGCAAAAACTCACATAATCAATATTTATAACTAGTGAAAGTTTCTAATTTTATTTTTTGAATAAATTACTTTTTCATTTTGAATAAATTTATGTAAAAAACCAATAAAGAATTATAATCATGTTATATCATAATCAAAGAATCGTATTCGCTTCCGAAACGAACTCTCAAATCAATCAAACAAAAAAAATATGAATAACCCATATCTACCATTGTTTGTACTTTTCGCGGGCAGTACACATTTAAATAAAACGGTTTAAATCACGAGATACACGGTTGGGGTGAAACAACCTAAACTTCGAGCCGTCACTAAATGAAATTAAAAATAACTTCACCAATATATTTCGCAATGCAAACCGTTAAAAATGTTTTAAATAAATATCAATAAAAAAATATTTTGCTTATCTGTAAATCGAACATCGCTTGGTACGTTTGCCTATATCGTATTATTAATAATTATCTATGGTTGAAAGTTATTACATATTACTAGTTTAGGTCGCATTCCTGAAATTAACATTTTTAGAGCGACGTACGAGTGACGGCGGCCATCCAACGACAGGTGGTAATTAGCCGGTAATTACTAATTACCATTACATCGTTACATGAAACCATTGAAAAAGACTGTACGACTTGAATATCCTGTATTACTGCGTGTTACACCAGCGCTACGTTTCGGGTCCGTTCGTTGAATGTGAAATATTTTTAAAATAATTACTTACAATGTGAACGATATCTAATTGTTCATTGTTATTAAAATGATATGCGACATTTGTCAAATTTTGGAGCGTGCGAATAAACAATGTATTTTTTTGGCCTCTATTTCGTCGATCCGACATGTTCGTATAAGATTCTAGTTCAATAGTTGCGAGGAGAAAATATTAGAATCTTTTTTGGGTTTTCTTGAAAAAATTGTTTTTTATAAATTTAGAATAGCAGCTATATGGTGAATTGTTAATGAACTATACAAACTCTATGAATGATGAAAATGGAAAAAAATACGAAAAATAGTTTAATGGCGTGGTCGCATTTCTTTATGGAACTCTTTCATTTGTATAAATATATGTTACGAACAACGTGATTATCTGGGCATTATAAATAAAGACCGAGCAATATTAATAATGGCCAAGAGGGATGAGCAAACTGATGACTTTATTAACTTCACGGGCCATTATTAATATTTCCCGACAGCCCGTGGTCCATGTCAGTGTTTGAGATCTCTATCAGTTTATTTCTGACTACTATGTACAATGGTTTTATTTTGTTAACTTTTCATGAGGATTGTGTAAGTTTAATTTCATTTTAAAAACACTACAGTTCACCTATTTTATTAATTTGCTCAAGAAAGGTGGACATTATTAATAATGGCAAACGGGAAAAGTGAGTAATCATGCTGCTTTAATCACATTGTCCGATTGAGTCGGTTATTATTAATACAGACCGGCCAATATTAATAGTGCCCGGAATTATCATTTTTCCCATAACATGTACTCTGCGTTACACACGATATTGAAATAAAAAATACCTATAATTTTTTATTCAATATTCAGCGTGAGACAATTAAACCTACTAACATGAAAACGTCGTTTTCCAAGCCAACGACCGACCGTCCCATGTCCAATCAAAACAATATAGAATAAATAAATAAATTATTCCTTTTTGGGTTATGCGCAGGAAACACTACCAAATCGGTTTACAGGTTTAATACTTTTGTTTATCAACGACGGGCCTTGATTAAACGTGATTAATTCTGGGCTTGCGCAATGGGTTATGTAATAGGACTATACGTCAAATATTAAATGTTTTTATACCTGTTACTTATATTTTAAGATACGACCAACACTTTTGGTAAAAAAATAAAAAAAATAACAAAAAACTATATTATGACCTTACGTTAAAGCCACACAAATAAACATGTTTACAGTCATAATGTTATCTGTGAGATGAGAATAGTCGATGTTATTTGATTATAGCTTCAACAAAATTTATTGGGTCAGACCTGTCGTACAATGAAATTGCATTGCATCTAACGCACATCCTATTTCAAATTTCCCTATGTATCGAGTATAATGCTATGCTTCATTTAATAAACAGTCTATGTGTCGTAAACCTACTGACTTATTCAAGTCAGTATCAAGATCACATATATAAAAAAATTAGAAAAGAATAAATTTTACGTATTATAGTAACAACACAGTACCTACAATGATAAAAAATATTTTAGAAGAATTGATGAAAACCACGACCAGTTGAGTACATAATATTATCGCTCTACCAACTGAACTCCAAGTGCGGCTCGTGTCATTCCTCAAATAGAGTTTTTATTACAAATCACTAAATTATAAAAAAAAAACTGTATTTATTAGAAGGACATACAAGAAAGTGGTTCACTTGATTCTAGGTGAAATATCCCATCCATATATCCTCTAGACAAGATCATCGCATGCGCATCTTCTATTTTGGCTTTAGTTATTGGGAAATCCACGGACTGAAACCGGAACGCGATTAAACTTCAGGCGTTGGTTATTAGCAAGGCTACCTTAGAACAACGAGCCCGTCTTTGAGTAATTGAGTGTTCTTTCAGGTCTATGGACACGTATAAAGTGTATGAACTGAGCAATCCGGCTCCCTTATTAAATTCCACCTGCATGGATGCAAGTCTTCCCACTATCATCTATACATTTGGATACAGAGGGAAATGCAATGGACCCGCCACTTCAGCCATGCTGAATGGCTACATAGGTACTAAGAAACGGAATGTTATCCTTCTGGACTGGGAGGAAGAGGCCAGAAGCGGAATTCTTGGCATATCGTTGGGTTACGCTATGTACGCCTTACCGAATAGTAAAAGGGTTGGTAACACATTTTTTTTTTGATAGACGACAGACAAGCGTGGGCCTCACATGATGGTAGGTTTTTACCTACCCTAAAGAACTTATATGTTCTAAATAAGGTGCGATGTCAAATATTGCAAGAACAGGAATCGAACTTTTCGAATTCGGATACACTAGAGCTATAAGATCTTCATATAATACAGAAACATAACTACAGACATATTTTAGGTGGGGCAAGAACTGGGCGCTGCTATTTTAAAACTGCACAACGCAGGCCTGCAATTGAATACCATTCATTTGTTGGGGCACTCTTTGGGGGCTCATTTGATGGGTTACACTGGAAGATGGATTCGTGAACAGGGCCATGTTATACCTAGGTAAGACACACTATATAATCTAAGTCAAATATTTTACAGCACATTCAGCAAAAATAGTTTATACCGCAGACAGGATTAGCAAGTCTCTTCGTCTTTTGTTGGTTTTGTCCTTTTTATTTGTAAGGTATTGTCGGAAAGAGACAACACTATTAGCTTAGGCTTTAGGGTATCAAAAATCAGCCTGCACCAATAGGAGCGAAGAAACAATTCATAGTTGAGGGGTTTCCCTTGCGTGCGCTACGAAAACTGTTCAAGAAACATAATATATCTATCGAAGAATGTTTCCTATTTTAATGGTCTAAAAAATGTCAACGACAATATTTTTCTATTTTTAAAAATTAATTCACAAGAACGATGGGTCGCGTACCACGTCGTGGGTACCAGCTATAATATAAAAAGCTGCGGAGGTTTTGCAAAGATATATAATATTATGATTATGATGCATAAAATAACTATATCACGTGGACAAAGTCACGGGCAAAGGTTGTAGCAAATTTAAAACAGACTGACCTGTGCATTAATACTTAGTTTCATGTAACAGCTACTAATTGCCCTTTTTCTAGAATAACAGGTTTGGATCCGGCGAGAGCACTATTTGAAGGAATTTTCGCAACTCGAAGCGCCCTGGACAGAACGTGTGCCCAATTCGTGGACATCATTCACACGAATCCTGGGAATTATGGCTCCACGACATCAGTGGGTTCTGTTGACATTTGGCCCAACTACTCGTCAGACGGAATGCAACCAGGTTGCCCGCAAGGATCGCATCCGATGTTTAGTTGGGACGGTGAGACTTTTCTATTTGAGAACAAAAAAGCACGGGTGTTCAATTGATGGAAGACCCTAGCCATATAAAATCTAAAGAAAGTTTGCTTTGGACCCTGTGGAAATCTACAGACTGCAACCGAAACGCGATAAAACTTAACGGCTTTCATCTGTGATAGGAAGCGCGTTACCCGGACGGCACATTTAAGTAAAACACTTTAACGGTTTAAAACGCGATATATTAGTTAAACTTATTTGAAAATGATTTTTAACTTCGGCCTGACGTTTCGGACGCTTTGCAGCAGCCGTGGTCACGGGGAGACCGTGTCTCAGTGTTTTATTTAAATGTGTACTACTCGCGTAAACTATAGACAGTATTTAATTAGAAACACGTTGACCAGTGGGGAATCAAAAGTTTGAAACGTCGGGCCGAAGTTAAAAATCATTTTCAAATAAGTTTAACAAATATATCGCGTTTTAAGCCGTTAAAGCGTTTTATTTAAATGTGTACTACTCGCGTAAACTATAGACAGTATATGACCCGTTGATTATATATTGATCCCTAAAATTATTTTCTCAGTTCATATTCGAGTATTAAGTACACATTTAAATTAAACACAACGGTTTTGTAAAGTGTAGTAATTCGATCGCTTTGCAGAACGAAATGTTAATATGTCGCGTTTTAAACCGTGTATAAACAAATATCTTCGGATGTAGCTAACAGGCTAACTAGTCTAGCTAACGTATGACTCTATATTGCAGATCTTTGCAGTCACAACCGTGCAGTGGAATACTTCGCGGAGTCTCTAAGTAACGGAACGGGGTTTGTGGCTGCTTCTGCTGCATCATATAACGAATGGATTGCCCTTAACGATACGACAGCCAACAACATATATCTTGGCGAATTGGTCAATATACGGTTAGACATTTTTTTTATATGGACTGTATCTGATGTAGCTTGAAATCAGTGCTGATATTAAAAAACATATGTAGATTTATAAGTTTCTACATAATATTTGCATTATTTCCTTATAATGAATATAACCATTTGTATAAATAAATGTATTTGAGGAGGATTAAATAAACGGCTATCCGGCTTTTTCGAAGTAGTGAAATACCCCAAGCATATATAAAGATGCGCGGCCGACCTTTTTTCATATCCTATTGATCGTCTTCGATATCCCTACTACCCAATTGATATCCGGATTTCCAGACGAAGTCTAACATGTTTCAATAATCCAACGAATCCACGACTCGTTTATTATTATACATAGCTAGGCAGGAACAATTCTTTTTACGTGCCCATAAAAAGAATTTCTCAATTATATCTTTACAGTTTGACAATCGGTTATTTGTTTAACACAAAGTTAATCTTATCCTTATCGATCTTTTGATTTTCAGCGCCCACGGTAATTATTACTTATCGACAAATGGACAGTCACCTTTTTACAAAGGCATGGACGGATTAAAACCACGAGAACAAGAAAGGAGTAGAAGACACACAAAACGGAATACACTAACGATTCTAGGGTAAGCGTGATTGTGACTAAAGAATAAAATAATGCTATAACCTTTACAAGTGCTTAGTCTTTTTCATTCGTCCTGATTGTGATGTGAGAGAAAAACCGTCGAAAACCTAAGTAGCTTTACAATTATTATTATTATTAACAATGTTAAATGATCTCATAAAACCATTAACAGAACAACGGCTAATAATTATTCAAGAATGCATTACTTAAAAAGCTTATAACTCAATAATAAAGACTCACACGAAAAAAAGATATATCGTAAACCACATCGGTACCAAATATAGCAAAATCAACTTTGAATTTTAGATGTAATGATGAAAAGAAATTTTAAATCCTTGCTTATTTAACATATCTGAATAGTATACTGAAATAATGTTGACTAATACTGATCATTGTTTTCAATTTCAGTATCCCAATTTTAGGCTTTTTTGGAAATAGCAACTGAGTGTTACAGAAAAAAATCAAGTCGAGTCAAGTTCTATTCTCTATACTGTACAATATACATTAGCTGATGGTTTTGAAATATGCGAAAGAGACTTTATCCCAAAAGGGCGTGTCTCTCCTTCGCTACTTGTACATAAGACAAGTAACATAACATATGTAGGATAGGTATTGATATATAATCAGCGGAAGTATGTTTCTGCTGTATATATTAAATGCTACGGTTTGAGAAGCTAATTGTTAGATCACTTTTTAAAATGTCAACGGTTCCGCTAGACCAATTTTAATAGACATCTTTAATAGAATGTGCAACATGTTCTGTGCGTCTATCAATCTAATTGAAATCAGTTTAGTCGCTTGAATTATTTTTGAATTAGCGAAAACATGCTATTATAGCTACAGACACTTGAATAAAACTCAACAGTTGATAACTGCAAAGTGCCTGATTTTGCATCTACTAGTTTCAAAAACGTCAAAAGTGTGGTAAAGTGGAATGAATTTGGCGTAATTAAGTTTGTTTGAGTAAAGGTAAATTTAATGTGATAAGTTTGACGGAAACCTGTTTGTAACCAGGTTGTGTGTATCACCTGAGAGTGAAGTTAAGTAAGCAGGGCACTGCAGCCAGATTTCAATCAAATTAATATTTGAACTGTGATAAATTTGATGATTCGGATGGACCAAATAGAGAACTACAATAAAGGATTGAAAAAAAAAATGTTTTTTTTTTCCATTAGTACTATTATAATAAAGTCATAGATATATTTTTTTGTAAATTACTTTATTACCGCTATGAATATTTTATACCAGTTTTACAGTATTTTTATCATACTGCGTTATGGTGAATAAAAATATGTTGTAAGTATTATCATTAAAAATTTATACACAATGTACAGGTAATTATCATAACACTACTATATCTAGTAATCGCAATGAAATATTAAAAAATAAATGAGGCTCCCGAGGCAACCGAGGCAAGCAGCCAGTAGCCCGATTGGCACTCTGCAACGGGTTCGAATTACTTTTACATCATATTTCTTTTTTTTTTCAAATACCTAGCTATCCACTGGTTCACAAGCCATTTCAAAGTCTCGCGAAGTGTTAGGTGGGCGCTGTGTTGTAGAATCTCTTCATGGTCGAGTCTATGTCAACTATTGAGGTGCTGATGTGATGAGCCGTTGAACCAATGGACTCGAAGGTATTCGCAAGCCTCTCGATTGCACGGGCCTGAAACAGAAACAGTCAACTATAGATGAGGTTACAAAAAAACAAATGTCTTTGTTTTTTAAATGTGTTTGGAACATTATATTTTGAGAGAGAGCGTGAAGAGGTTCTAGGTTCGAATTCCGGAGTAACGTTAGATTGTTTCGGTCGAGCAGAACACAGATGACTGATCAACTACTTGCCCATGAAGAACGCCATAAGGAATTGAAATGCGTTCACCCGCGGGGTAACGAGATTTCACTTTTTACAATTGCTTGATAATAAAAGCTATGAGTGGCGAAGGTGAGACGATGTAATAAATGTTAAGTTTAATCGTGTTTCTGTTTGAATCTGTAGATTTCTAAATATCCAAAACCAAAATAGGATAGCGCGTTTTGTTGCGGTGTTATCTAGCTAGGGTATTTAACCTTCCATTAAGTGAAACCCAAGGTTTTGTGTTCCTCTATCATGAAAAAATAAAATAAAGTTTGTGTACCTGTAATTCAGATGCTTCGGCCAATCTCTCCATAGCTTGTGAGCTAACTTGCGACGCATGCGCCAGCTGTGACATGGCATTGGCTTGATCAGTCATCACTTTCACCTACAATATTACTTTATATGTATCACGGAAAAAAAACAACAAATTTGCTGTTCGCAGCTTTTATGTACATATTGTTGTAGCTTTGTGACTTAATCGCAATAAAACAATCTAGTACCAATATTTCACAAACTAGCTATGTCCGTGACTCCATCGACGTAAAATAGTTATTTTGGGAATTAAGCTGTAACGCACGACGTCGTTCGCGTAGGATTCATTCTTTCATACATATTATGTTTGTAATTGCACGCATAATTACTATTGCTTTCATAAACCCTTGGCGCAGCGTACGCAACGGAAACCTCAAAGTTGAATAATTTTCCCAATTTTTGTGATGTTTTAATGTATATCCTAAAGCCTTCATCGATAAATGATCATGGCCAAACAACTAATTTTCAAAACTAAGTCCTGAGATAGCACATTCAAACACGCACACTTTCAAGCTAAATAAAATTAGTATAGGTTACAAAAAACAAGAGAAAACGGGTTCCAGTCCTTTGCAAATAATGGCGGCGAAAAATCACGTGACTTTTCACCAACACCAATCAGAGCGAGCGAACACGGAGGTTTGTAATATTTTACTACGTAAAATAATACAATAGTTAATAAATTTCCTTCAAAACATATAATTGAGTTTTTTGTTATTTTCCAGTGTAATATACCTACGTTAAATTCGTATTATATGCCAGATTAATCTCTGCGATTTTTCATTAATAGATTTTATCCATAAACAAGTAGGCAGAGTTTATATTATTTATTATGACCGAAACAGGTAAGTCAATAATATCGTAAGAAATACCTTCTCTACGGGTTGTCTACAGTCACACTATTTCATTAAATACTAACCTTTTCAAATATAAAGTACTACATTTCGCTGGATATTATCCGAAATCGGGGTGTAGTAAATATATATTGTAAATAAGTTAACTAATACAACACAACGTTTTCAACTATTCCATATTAACTCTTGTATATAAATATAACTTCAAAGTAAATTTACCAGTTTTTCCATAAGTATCATATTACGCTCTTCAAGGCTAAGTGTTTCAGGAGCTGGGTCCTCACTGCTAAGTACTGGTTCATCTATATTATTGTCTTCTATATCATCTTCATTATAAAATGTGTTATCCTCCAGGTAATGAGATTCAACTTTAACTGAATGTTTTGGTTCTAGAAGCAAACATAAAAATATAAAGAAAAAAAGGTAGAAATTTAAATTGTTTCTAGAATGGTAATAATATCTCTCTAAAAATATTTCTGAATCTGAATAGCAAATCTTTAGCACTGGATAATGCCTTTGATGCTGATCAAATACTTACCTGAATTCTACAAACATACAAATATGTCTTAACTGCTTTACACGGGGACAGTGGATATTAAAAACAATCCTTAGAATTAAGTAACAAATTTCTTTCGTTTAATTCAGATATAAATCAAAATCCTTCTGAGCCTGATAGCTATTGAAGTAGATAAGAACAGAGGCCCTATTTTATTTTTGATAATAGAATATTTCACATATTAAAATAACAAGTATACTTCTACTAACTAGTTGGAGTATCATTGTCTAAAAAGAGATCCCATATTTTTCTGTCAATGCCTGAACTTAGGACACTCGGATCTCCACCAGATGATATAACCTTTGAGCGCACTGATGATTTTTTATCTGCCCAGAACTGCAATAACAAAAAAATAAAAAACATATTCTTGTATATTTAAATTTAAAATAATTAAAGAAATTACATTAAATGGTTTAATAGGCAAAATGTCTCAGTTAATTTTATGTATATTAACATAATAACCCAAGGTTTAGGATGCTTTGTGGCAGCCAAAAAGTTTTATTTAAATGTGTACTAGTCACATAAGCTACAGATAAGAAATTTAAAATACTTTTTTATCACCTTCACCCAAGATTTCATAGGCCTAGTAGGGCCTTCATTGATGCTATTTACTATCCGTGTGAGTTTCATCCATAGTTTTTTACTTTCATGTCGTCCTTCCATGCCTCTTAATTGTCCTGAACCTAATACTGGATGTTGTTCCATGTACTCTACTATTGCTTTGATTTGGTCTAAGTTTGGCCGAGCCTGTGAAACCGAGCAGTTTTTGTCTTATTTTCATCATATAACAAGTTGGTATAAATAAAAAATTACTAACAGAAGAAGAGATTTGTTTGAATACTACTTCCAAATTTCACCTTTACAAGTTTGGTATTTATTCCTAATCTAGACTTGTCTGTGCACAAATACATAGAATAGCTGAACTTTATCTGTATGCGGATTATATTATATATTCTCAGTAATGAGACTTGACTTACCGCTATTAACCTTTCAGTCATTTTGAATTTTATTTACAATAATACAACAATGCTGGAGGTATAGTTAATTCCAGGCACTTGTTTTCGTGCAGGGTGTAATATTATTTTTTTATTAATAATTCATCATCGAACTGGATCATTAACTATCATGACGACCCGAATGCTTATAAATTTTAAAGCCATATACTATTTAACACTTATATCTCAAAGCATAAACCTAGGAACCCTAGGGATAAACCTAATATGATAATAAACTCTCGCTCCCAAACTTTTTTTTAGCTTTTTCACCATAGAGTATCCTTCTATATTCTACAGCTACACAGATAAGAAGTATTTACTGATACAGTTCTAGATTTCTATTAATCGGTTTTGTTATAAAGGCGTCGAATCGATTTTTCTTAAAAAAAAACATCGATTTAATTATTTAATGGTAATGCAATAGATCTCATAACAGAAATATAACACTACATAATCAACATTGGAAGTATGTTAACAGGTACAATGAGTATATAAAATAATTTTATAACTTTAATAAACATGTGAGTCTTTGCCAATTTTATATTTTGATCCGCACTTTGGTAAGATATTGATGTTTTAGAGTAAAATACACTAATTATTTTACAGAAAATCAATTGAACTTCATTTCTCTCTTGCTGTGTTTTAAAAAAAATATAACTGGTAGTTCGATTTCCAGGCTCTGGGCTAAAACAAACAAACTTTATACCACTATTTACAGATTTTCTTTCTCAACACACGAGTAATAATAATATTAAGACTAACATGCACATTATAACCAATCTAGGTTATATTAATCGATAACTCATAAAACTTAAAAAAAAATCGACTTTTCCATAACCGGTTATTTTTTCACGTTCCTACTGTGAAATGTCAATTATTGGAATTTGGTCTTTTAACATAATTTACTATTTTTGTTCATAAATATACAATTACATTAATTACTTTGATAACTCATAATGTGAAATTAATTACCTAAAGTTTACTTTAGTGCACAACAGTACAAAAATAACCCTGGATGATGGAAAGCATAAGCGTAAGTTATCAAACAAAGTAAAACAGCTGTTTCTATAAAATATTAAAGGAATTGTCCTTTGTTTCAGAATTTTTCAATTTCTCTTATTAAGGGTTTTATAGACAGTTTGCGAGGAGTAACTGTGTTGTTATATTTAGATAAAGAAATTAATGAACGTGCTTTAAGCCGTTCTCCTCAACCCGAATTTGAAGGCACAAGACACAAACAAAAGCAGCCTAAAGTCAAGCAGTAAGTCTAAATATCAAACATTTACTAGGAAGTATGATAATACTACTTGGTATTGTCAATACTTGATAGATTTATGACATAAATAAAATAACTGGAATTGTAAACAAAGCAGAACAAACTGTTAATACAATTATCATTTATTCTCTGTGTGTTTTTGTTTCAGAGAATCAAAAGTACTTACAAGAGTAGTACAGTCATGTATTTTAAATGGATTTATATTTCTGCTGAGCATACTCGTCTTTGAATATGCCTTATTACCAGCGGTAAAATACCTAGTTATAGCTATTTTTGGGCATAATCCAGGTGTTGCTTATAGTGTTTGGTCATGGATCCAACCATTCCTTTCAATGACTTTCCGGATGATATGGGTGTTGCCTCTATTCTTGCTGAGCAAGTTGGTAAACAGTCTATGGTTTCAAGTGAGTAACATTTAATCCTTATGGCTTTGTAGCCATTTTAGAACGCTACTTGGTTTTTGACTTGTTTGGCCCTCTTTAACTGAACAGTAACAGTTTTTATCAAAGAAGAAATGTTCAAAATCTGATGCTGAATCAGGTTATTAAGAAATGTCGAGCAGTATTTTACAATTATTATGTCCAAATAGGTTGAAAACCTAAGTTTTATGTTTCCCTAATTATAGAACAATACATTATTTAAGTCTAAAGTGCAATCTTTTTGACATTCATTTTTGTTAACTGATTGGTTATCAGTTGAATTGCAACAGGATTGTGCCTCTTTTAATTACAGGTGATTAAAACATTTATCTATACTAATATTATAAAGATAGAGTTTGTTTGAACATGCTAATCTCAGAAACTACTGGTTTGAATTGAAAATTATTTTGTGTTTGTTAGAGCATTTATCTAAGAGGTTTATGCTATAATATAATAACATTACATTACAACCAAAACCAGAAACTGAGGAAATTGTGGAAAATTTTAATTTTAACTAAAAAAAAATCTGTAACAGTATATGTCTATTCTTTATGATTAACTAGCAAGAACGACAAAACGTGAACAACATCATGGGTAACAGCAAAAATTAATTTTAATGCCCACAATAACTATTCTATGCGGACAATGTCACGGCCACACCTAGTCATATGACGTTTTTGTTGTGTAATGTCTATATTTTTAATAACATTAACGGCATTACTTTTAAATGCGTAATAAAAAAGTAGATTATGGCAATTCATTATGATTGATAAATAATTGTGTAATTTATAAAACATTTCTGAGGAAAATGTAGGAAATTACATGATGTCTTACTAAAACTTACAACAAGGGATAAATGGGAGAAATTCAATTATAATTACAGGATATAGCAGATTCTGCATATCGGCACAGACGGGGCCGGCCACAGTTCATGTCAAGTGTCAGTAAGATTATAGCAGATTCACTCTTCAGTCTGTTGGTGCAAGCTTTATTTTTAGTCCAGGTAATTATTTTTATAAATTTATATGGAGACCTACAAAATTAATAGATCAATGGAAAAATTTCTCTGTTAATAGAAGTTGGCGACTTTGAAGTACTACTACTTTATCTTAATCTTTAAATACTCTAAGTAAGAAATAGCATAAAACAAATCAATTTCCCTATAATTTTATTTACAAAATTTTTGTTCCTTTCAGAGCATGCTAGTCAGTATGTTACCTATCACATACATCGGTGAGCTCCTATGTCTAGTCCATATGTGCCTATTGTACTCACTGTACTCCTTCGAGTACAAGTGGTTTAACATGGGCTGGGAGCTGCACAAGAGGCTCACTTATATTGAGACTAACTGGCCTTACTTCCTCGGCTTTGGATTGCCATTAGCCGTATTGACACAAATACCACAATCTTATATCATCAGGTATATTTCTTTTAATGTCTAAAAAAAATCATACAATAAAATAAAAAAATTTCAATGAATACATTTCTATTTTTTATTCTGTATGTTATTTATGTTGCAGTGGTTGCGTGTTTTCAATATTTTTCCCTGTCTTCATATTGAGTGGGAATGAGGCAACACCCGTCACTGGCAGGTGAGATAAATTTAAATCTTTTTTTTACATCACATTAGAATCCTAAGTATTTACCTACCAGTATTAGTACCCATGGTTTTCCAAAGATACTGTTTTACCACATTATATGTTATGAATATGAATTATTTATTATAATCTAGTATTGTACAACAACGCTAAACATTAGAAATTGTGTGAGTCTTTTGTGGCCATTTTTTAAAATCAAGACTAGATTAGAAAATGAGAAGTGTTTTTTGTAATTGAGCAACGAGACGATAGCAACGCCAGGAGTATTGAGTCCTGGTGTTGCTATCCACTCGTTGAAATCTATTTCTCAGTTACAGCGACCGAACAGGTCCAAATTGTAAAGCTAAGATATGGCCGCGAAAGCCTTATGTAATTTTTTTTGTTTATGGTAGAGGACAGAGACAGGTTCACTTGATGGGAGGTGAAATATCGTATACCCCAGCCATAGAACGTCTACACAGGATGCGCTGTCTCTTTTGGCTTTGGATATTTGGAAAATATGCACCATTCTTAGAGTGTCAGTAGATCCTTAATGTATTTTCTTTTGCAGTGAATACCCACTACGTCTTTTCTCTCCGGTGGTTGCGATATCAAACGGAATGTTCCGTTTTGTCCGGCATAGCGCTGACGTCATGGACAAGACTAGGTGATAGTTACAATTAACTAGTAACGAATTATGGGGCTTATTTTTTACAGAACAAGCACTTACATCAATAGTTCACTATCAGTTTTCTTTTTAGGAATGTTCAGACTCAATGTCATTTATAAATAATGACATAAATTAAAATTAATCAAAATATCTCTATACTGTCTGTAGTTTATGCAAGTAGTGCACATAAAAAAAAACTTTTACGGTTTAAAACACGATATATATAAGTTAAACTTATCTGGAAATTATTTTTATTTTTAACTATGGCCCGATGTTTCGAATGCTTTGCAGCAGCCATGGTCACGGGTAGACAAACGTCGGAATAATTTTTAACCTATATTATAGCGTTTTGAACGTAAGTGTTTTATTTAAATCAACCTCTTTCATGCAACGGGTTATATACAGGCTGAAATCTGTTTTAGTCGTGGTTAGCCCCTAGTTAAGGTTGGATAGTAGTGCACATGTTAAGAAGCCTCGTAGTTTCTCACAATGCCAGGTCCATAATGTATGAAAATGAGCCCTATAACTTCTAGACTGTTCTTCTTTACAGGGATTTAAGTTTTTAATTAAGCGACATGTGAGTAAATTAATGTTTGATTTATGAATTAAATTTTTATCAACACTAAATACATAGAGACAACACATTTGCAAATGCTAAATGTTCTAACAGCCTATTAATACATAGATAACTATTGTAACTGCTAAATGTAGTGAAAGAACATATCTAAATATATAACTGTGCAAAAATTATTAATAAATACATTTCAGCTATGAATTTTGCTTCCGAAATGTGCAAAATAAATGATAATTTGGAATTGTAATATAGCTTTGATTTTATATTGTGTACTGTAAAAGTATGATATATTTTTGGTTTGCGCGTGCGCATATGTCACGCTCACGTTTTAAAATTAGTTTTAAGTTGAAGATTTCAGTACAGGGGTGTTGTGTTCTAGTTTGTTTTTGTAAAATAAAGGGGTATTGTGAAACTTAAGGAAGAATTTGATACTTTGATACCATTAAAAAACTGTCTTTAGCGTACATTAAAATAAAACACTTTTAGCGGTTTAAAACGCGAAAAATAATTATCAATAAGCGAAAAAAAATTATTATATATTAATTATGATGGGAGGTAGCTTTTTCAAAAGCACCCGAAACGTGTCGTAGGTAAAAACTTACTTGTATATTTCGTGTTTTAAACCGGTGGGTTTTATTTAAACGTGACATCATGGTACTTATATTTTGTCTTTGGTCACGTATGTATCAATACAATTAGAATATATAAAACATGCGTTTTAACGGCTATTTGGTGCATACGAATGTAGAGCAGATAATTTACTATAAGTTAGATTATAAATCATTGTTATATTGTGATTATATTTACATGACATTATTTATAAAAGGCGGACTGACTTGTGTTGTTTTATTTGTTTCAATCTTCTCAGTAGCTGCCAGCTATACTTCGTTTTAACCATATAACCACTGCTGGGCATAGGTTCTCTCTTGGCCCCTGTAAAGTAGCTAAATGGACAAACCGGTTCATAAAGCAAGGATCAGGTCGTCATTGCCTTTTCCGCGGAGTTTGAACTTAGAACAAGACATTTAATTTTTTTCTTTTCTTTTATCCCTTTTAAAAATGAGGTAAGACCCTTAAACTATGGGACCATGTTACCACCTGGCCTAACGTAAACTACGCCAGTGGTTGGTCCACTTGTAGCAGTAGCCCTAACAGTACTTCTAAATACCAAGCTATTACTAAAAAAAAATCTTGGCAAAATTAAAAATACATAAAATCACAAATAACAAACTCTGCTGCCTACCTCCACTTACCAGTTTCAACGTTATGTACAGTTTTAAAGCATAGAGAAGAAATTAAAGAAAAATACAGATGCGGAGATGTGCAGAGAAAAAAGCAAAAGGAAAGAAAAAAATTGTAACGAGAAAACGCGTAAAAATATCATCAAGACCTTTTAAACCAAAATAAGTGAATATTTTTAATCACTTTAAGTATTTATTGATAAATGCACAATTTAATACCAAAATTAGGTTAGGTAGTTTCCCCATCTCGCTCAAGACGATTTCTTAGGAATGGTCTAAAACTTATTTTGGTATATTACAGAAAACTTTAAAGAGACTCAACAGAATTTAAATATTTATTTATATTTTGAATATGTTAATAACGATACAAATGGTACGTCCTATGTACTTTGTATTTCATTCTTCACACATACATTACGGAAAAGAAATAATTATGGTATGTTACAGGTTTAATATAAATGGATTTTATCTTACAGTCTAATATAGGTACATCTGGTGACTTATCATAAAAAATATACTTAGCGTATATAAAATAATCATATTAGTACTAAAATACGTCATTTTATTTCAAGTTTGTAATAAATGTAATCGCCATTCAAGGTTAGCTATAAATGATAGAGGGCGGGACTCGAATCGACGACTACAGTGTTCTATGCTAATGCACTAATTAGTTTAGGGTCCCGAAACATACATTGTAATAGTAATAATAAATTGTTTAACATATTATAACATACTATTAAAATATAATACACATATTTGATGTAAAAAGCACTAAGCTACGGCAAACATGTAAGTATTTCATATTTCACTACTCTATTTTGGTAACTATATGTATATTTTGTATTTTCTTTAATTGTATAGTTTATATTTACTCTTTTACTAAGATAATTTGCAGTAAATATGTAATCCTAATTTAGTAATATAAATGAGATCGCTTAATTCTACAAACCATTTGATACAACGACAACCGTTTTGATGATATTTAAAAGTTAAAATAGACTTTTCACATTGGGCCATACAAGTATTACGTCAGCACTAGACATCAGTACCTTGTATATAATACTAGCTGCGTCGGCGACTTCGTCCGCGTAGAATAGTTATTTTGAACATCAACTTTGAACGCGTTAATCTCAGGAACTACCGATTTGCATTGAAAAAAATATATTAATATTTTCGTGTTGGTTAGAGCATTTATCGAGGAAGGCTATACGATATAATAAACCGTCGCATTGTGACTAATACGAGCAAAGATACAGCGAGAAATGTGAATAAAAAAAAATTATTATCATTACGGGTTTCCGAAGTGTACGCTGCAAAAACGGTTCGAGATACCCAAAAAAAATGTACAAAAGAATGATTCCTCTTTAAACCATCTAAAAAAAAGTCCGCGACGCTATATATCTATCTTTTAAGATTAACTTGCAAAAACGATGGGAAGGGACGCGACCGAAGTCGTGGGTAACAACTTAAGTTTATAAAAGTAAGTTTAAATTTGGATGCCCAAAATAACAATTCTCGCGGACAAAGAAGCTGATACAGCTAGTATTAGTATAGATCTAGCTGGCAAATAACAAAGCAACGTTTGTCGGATCAACTAGTTACATTATATATCTATTCTACAACACTAGTCTGGTCGCTTGACAACATACATGTAATATAACTAAAATAATCTAATTAATAATAAAAATAACGTATTATGTATTTTCAATAAACACTATCTACATGTTTAAGTATACAATAAAACCCCTATTGCATGGGGTCGAAAATCGAGTGTAAACTCTATATGCGAACTGAAGGGACTGTGCATTTTATGGCGTTATAGAGAGTTGTCGTTAAATGGAGAGAAGAAACATTGTATGAAAAACCAGCTAACCCAACCAAAGCCAATTGATTTCGACGCTTAAGAGAGTTTGTCGTTAAATAGAGTGACGTTACATGGAGTTTACACTGTTTTTTAAATCCGTATTGATTGATTTGATTTACGAATGAAGAAACATTTTTTTAGTTACAAAGGGATGACAGACGAGCTTGCGGTTTACTTGATGAAATGAAATACCTCGGCCTTATAACATTTCAACATGATGCGCTGTGAAGCTGTTTTGGAAATCTCTATCGTTTGTGATTTCGGTATTCCTAAATATCAAGATATTGCACACGTAGTCTACCATGGTTTAGAAAATCAGACATCGATTCTTAAAAACATGTTAGACCCGGAGGGAATCGAACCCGCAACTCGTTCCATTAAACATGTATTACTACTACGAGGATTTAATTTTTAAAAGTGCGTCGGACAAGGGCCTCGGTCTACCTAACTCTAAGGCTCAAGAAAGAATCAGGACCGCGTCCCTTCTTTTAGCATAGCTGGAATTAAATGAACCTCCAAAATTATAAATAACATCAGGAACGTTCGAAATCCTTTTCTTTTACGCTTATATCTTCTCAAAGATAAGGTTAAAGGGCCCCTAAGTTCCGGGGCCCCGGTGCACTGCACCGCCCGGCCCTACCATCGCTACGCCACGTAGTTTACGTTTAAACACGTACGCCACTACGTACGTATTTAAACGTAAAGCATTTTTTAATTATATCATATTTAAATAAAATATTAGTATACTAATCGCGTATATTATAATAGCAACATATGTGCGATTAGTTTACTAATATTACCATTACCTATACAACTATTAAATTTACAACATAGGTCCATCTCAAAAGTAAAATCTACAGCCGACCTATGTTTTCAATAGATACATATATGAAAATTCCTTAAACTTCTACTGTTTTCGCCTTTACTGTGCGTCAGTGATTTTTTTGTGTCATTCGCTAAGTCAATTTAAGGGGGCATTTGACAACTATACGAGATGCTTTGTATGAAACTAGTGGTAAATGGTATAAATTGCCCCACAATTGTCCATATTTGCTATGATAATGACGTCAATTATCTTAGAAACGATAAGAGGTACTGTACTTATCTACAATAGTCTTACTAGCAGCATACCCACGGCTGCGCCCGCTGTCAGCCCGACGCTCAACATTGTGACAATAATTGAAGACGCTTTCTCCCTCTCGTGCATATCTACGACCCTGAAAAAAACATCTAATTGTAAAAAAAATCTTAACGCTTTTTATGAGAGCCGACAAGCATATCCGTCCATCCGGTCCGATTATTGGAAGGTGAAATATCCCAGACATATAACAAGATCTGTCGACCTATTTTGAAATTGGATATTTGGAAATCCACAGACAGAAACCGAAACGCGATTAATATTTACAGGTTTTTTTCAGTAGACGATGGGTTGTGACTCGGACGTCCTGTGGATATTCATACCGTTCATTGAATATCCAAATTTCCAGGCGAACTTCAACATGTATTAGAAAAAAAATTATTCGAAAAATGTTGGGTCCGGTGGGGATGGACCCCCGACCCCCGAGTATAATCCATACATTGCTACAAGCAAACATTATTTTACAGAATTTATGATTATAACATTTAATTTTATTTACAGATCATCTTTGAACTAAACAAAAGTTACATTAAAACACTTGTTAGTAAAAATGCAATTCAATAGACCCGTATGACAACAATTATTAAGATAGCTAACAAACATACTTTCAAGGACAATGATTAAAAACGTGTTCAGTTCTATGTCTCCTATCTTATGCATTACTATTTAAATGCTATTAGTACTACTTGCATTCATTATATAAACAGGAATATTTCATAGATAAAACTAATTTGTCATCAAATAAATCATATTTACGCAGATCAATTAATCATTAACCACAGATAACCTTTCTCAACGGTTGATAAAATTATGACTTAGGAATTATTAAATGCACAAGTGTTTCTAATGCATTTGAGAAATTCTATCCTCAACGGGCTGATTTTTAAAATGTACTTAATATTATTCGGTAGATGTTAAGGAACCACAGAAAATAATTATTTTTGAATTCTGATAAATATATCTATTAAAAATCCAACATTTATGTTGCTAAAATGCTATTTTTGCGAACAAACGCTGCAATACGGCTAGTGACGTCAGGACACTTTTATTGGCCACTAAGGTAATGTTGATCATATGATCCACAATCTACATGCATTTGTATCAAACATTTACATTTTAACAGCAATTGAACTAATACAATGACAGCTTTCCTTGCTGTTGACTCGGTAGCTCAATTGGTAGCACAGCACAACAGCACGGAAAGCTGACGATGGCGGTTCAAGTCCTGCCCGAGTCGAAAATTTTTTCAATTTATTTTCGATTTTTAAATTATCTAATACAATGAGTTAAAAATTTAATTATTGCCGAGAATAGAACAGTTTTAACACGGAAGAACGATTGTTTATAAGCAAGTGACGTCCTTTTAAACCCGACCAATATGAAATACTACGAAATAATAACACGAAAGTAGCTTTTTGTGTCACGTGACATATGTTTAAAATTTTGTTTGCCGTTTTTTATTATCAATTATTATTTTTTAACATATCTAACCGTTTTGCTACTTCTTAAGTAATACTGATAATAGCAATTGAAGCTATATTCTTCGCATTGTCAAATACCCCATTGTATATTACACAGTTTTTGTTTCATACTATTAAGGAAAATATAAGAAACGGATTCTATTGAAAACGAAATTCAATTTTTCCTCAAAGAGGCGGCGCGCGAAACAAAGGATCTATTAATCTTCAAAGCCTTGAAGAAATGTCAGACTTACCGGGTAGCGTTGACCATAATGATGTTGGTCAAGTATCCATTGGTGAAGGAGAAGACGATCATGATCATGATGTATTCATAGTCCCACAGGAATATGACCGGCAGGTGCTTCCGTGGCTGGGCGTTGCACAGCATCAGCATGGGAACGCCGATTATTCGGAAGACACTCGCAGCGGCGATGACCCACTGGTTCGTGGGCTAAAACATTGTTTTTATGATAGAGGAGAAATAACAAGCATGTTTGTAACTTATATTATGAACGTTAAACCAAGGGCGTAGGACGAACGAGAAGAACTGGAAAGATACTCGCCCCCCTTTAATTAAATTGTACTACATCTTTTTTGTTAGAGGGGGTTTTCCCCAAATCCCATGTGGGACCCGGACTTAGATTGATTATTTCTATACACATTCAATGCACACAGATCCTCTTGAACGTAGAGTGTGATAAAATATTTTTTGTCATTGATATTCGCCTTCAAGATTTTTATGGCGAACATTGTTCTTTCAGAACAGTAAAAATAAATTTATTACCAATTTGCACACTAATTTTAGATAACCAATGACCCCGTTTTAGTGTAATTTGAATTAATTGTTTCTAATTAATTAGCTGAATTCAAAAGATAAGCGATGAAATTATAAAGTGGCAAGAAATTTGAAGATCTCATCAGTCTTGTAATAGAAATGCTTAGTTTATTACCAAATGGTAGCAGGTTCTAGCTTTCCGAGAAAATCTGAATATTGTACGGGCGACTGGAATATCAAAATTCTGTCATTAGATGGAAGGATTAGCTTCCAGTGAATTTCTAAATGACCCTGGCAAAATAAGTCGAGTTGAAGAGCTAGGATGTTCTAACAATTGAACAATCTTTTTATATATACAATGTACAAAAGGAACGGGTGATACAATCATGATCTTTATTTTAATGCCATGCTATGCTAAGACAGTCTTCAAAAGATTCAAATGAAACACTTTCAACTGTTTAAAACGTGAAAAATATAAGTTAACTTATTATAAATTATAGTAGCTATATTTAAGAAATTAATTCAAGTTCTGGTATTTGTCAGTGTGGGTGTTTGTTAGAATAATAATGTGTTACTTACTTTTAGGAGAAAGCCAGCAACAAGTCGTCCGGCGTAGTCACCGCAGTTGAATATTAGATAATTCACGACCGGTACGAAGAATATATCTAAAAATATATTTTATTAATACACGATGTATTTTAGCACGTTTTATTATTATTATTACTGTAGTTTCGTATGATGTAAGTATTTGCGTTTAAAGACATATTTGTCTGTATAGTTTTTACTAATTTATTAAAGTAATTATTGTGCCGTGCCAAAAGGAAACATGTCATTGTTTTATGGGGTTTGAAACTAAAGCTTCTTGGGCCTAGTACTATGCGCGCTGCAAACAAAAGCTGTCGTAATTATAAAAGTTTAACAGTCACAAAGATCGAAGTAAACATATAACGGTTTAAAACGCGCCAAATACCGTCAGACCGTAGTTAAAATGAATTATAAATGAGTTAAATTGTTTTAGATATTTAATTTGCATAACGCCATTATGTAAAATAACGTGTGAAATGGACTTACTATTCCAATCAGTTCCCGACGTAGCCGGATGGGATTCAACCAAAACAGTGACAGCTGGGTACACACACATCGATATCCCGTACACAGCGAACATACTGAATGCATACACCCACACTTTCTTCAGCACGATCGTTAAGTACGCTTCCCGATTTCTATTGACCACCATGCCATTACCCCTTAGCACGTGGTGAGTGAAAAAATCTATCTTGTATAGAAATGGCATACGATATAAGCGACGTTATAACCATAAAGTCAGCTATACAGAAGTAGATCAGCGCGCTGTGAAGGGGGGATATTTTGAAGGCGAGGGATATGATCTGCGCGACTGCTGCTATTATGCCCCCCAAGGACTGACCGCTGATCACAGCAGCCATGTATTCCCTTGAAAATTTACTTGAGGTTCCCATTAGGCCTGATATGAATATTGCGCTGGCGGCTGAAATAAAAAGGGGGTCAATAGTTTAATTTCTATTTCTTGGGCTTTTTAGCAGAGTATGTTGCTTGACGGGCTCATAGGGGAATAAGAAACTGATGATGGGTTGTCCAATTTTTCTAATCTATTTAATTTGGGGGGGGGGGGGATATCGAAATTCCTTCCGGGCCACGAATCACAGCCTACACATGAAAAAGCCGTGAAGTTTAATCGCGTTATAGTTTCAGTCCGTGGATTTGCGAATATCCAAAGCTAAAATAGGTCGACGGAGCGTCTTCTTTAGATGTTCTATGGTTGGGATATTTCATCTACCATCATGGAACCCTTCTGTCTAAAGAACCATATTCTCGACGTTTGGCCATCACGAGTGAATAACAAGAGATAATGCGCGTTTTTCGACAAAGCTAAAAAAGCTCAAAAACCCAAGCAGCTTATAAGACCTAATATAATTTACTCATATTAGGTCTTTAGGTTAAGTAAAATAGTAATTAAATACATGTGTACAGTGGCCACAAGTTTCCAGGTGGCTTGATGGAGAAGTCGATTTTCAATACAAATACTTTCTTGAGGAAAACCGAGTTCTCTTTTAAATTAGTCATTATTATTATGAAGTCATCTAACTACTAACTGTTTACGAGTTTTTGTCATAAAAATCGTGGCTTATAGCTAGAGGAACTCACACAGTTTAACAGTTTCAGAAAAAATATATAAAAAGATTTCAAAAACACGATAGACCATTTTAATCAATGTATAAATAATAATTATTAGCCATACATACTAAGCCCGTAAAGAATTTCGAATTTCCAAGGCCGATATAGAACAAAAGCCACCTTATAATTAAAAAAAATCGAAAATAAATTTTAAAAAATTTCGACTCGGGCAGGACTTGAACAATAACATTTATAATTATCATACTATTATCAAAAATTAAGGTAAACCTTCCATCACGTGAACTCGAGACTGTGTATGCTCCATGTTTACTTGTCTGTTTTCTTTTAAGAAACAGTAGCATGAGGTAAGTAAACCGATTCTGTTTCAAGTATCTAGTGCAACTTCGTTAAAATAGATATATAATACAACAGCAACACCAACTACCGGTTTCGCTTTAAGTCATTCTAAATGTCCGACATTTGTAAAAAAACATGAGAATATATTATTATGCGCTTGAACCTACATGAGTTTTAAATTTAAAAAGGACACGCTAGGTTCAACGACTCCGACATTCGATACAATCAAATTAGGCATCTCTAAATAATTATTTTTTAAGCAAACAAGTAAGTAGTTTTAAAAGTGTATCAATTCATTTGTATAAACAATGTTTTAAAAGGGGGTGAGCTGCTGCAAAGCATCCGAAACGTTGGGTCGTAGATAAGTATGTTAACTAACATTTTTTTTTTAACTAATATATTTCGCATTTAAACCGCCAAGTGGTTTATAAATACTAGCTGTACCAGCGACTTTGGCTTCGTGGAATCATTACGATTGGTCGCAGCCTGATTTATCATCGCTTTCTCGATAAATAGTCCAACAAACACAAAAACAATTTTGCAATTCAAACCAGTAGTTCCTGAGATTATCGCGTTCAAACAAACAAACTCTTCAGCATTATATGTTAGTATAGATTACTACTCTCGTAAACTATAAACGATACTTGTATGAACTTGTAAATAAATATTTTCTTTATATTGGATACGAATAAAACCTTTCAAGTCTCCCGTGATTGAGTCACGAACCAGTTTTAAGAAAATAAGATCTAAACAAATGTGTCAGCGACATAAACGCCTCGTGAAATAATTATAATAAATATAGGATGTGTCTTTATCTGTTTGTATTTAAGTAGTATCTTATCTATAGCAATTAATTATAATATCGATACAGCCTCTGTTTTTTATGCCAGAGGAGGAAAGACAAGTACATAGCTTACTTATAATTTAAGAATCGAAAAAAATTACAACTCGGACAAATTAATTAAATGTCTACATGTAAAAAATATTAAAGTTTTCAAACAGAGTTAACTTGATGAAAGATGAAATACTCCATGATATAATGCCGATAAGCAAGATGCGATGTCGACCTATTTAGAATTTTGACATTTGTGCTGTCAATTCACGGGTGCATTCCGGGTCCGAGCTCAAGCCGTAGTTAAAATTAACTAAAAATGTTTGAACCGTTTGAATAACAAAGACTTATTCAATCAAAATAAATATAATTAAACAAATGAATAACAAACCAAGGACCGCTATATATTTGAGGCTAAATTGTTGATTCTTATAAAGATAAGCATTTGTACCTGCAAATATGAGTCAAGAGTTATGGCATATTTTAGTTTGGGCACTATTAGTAAAATGTATCGTGTTTCAATTTATCTGCATTCTCCGAAATGCTTAGGGTCAATGACAAAATAAGAATGGTGAGTGCAGAGAAATATTCCACCATTTAATCCCCTGGGGAATTTAATAACGTACATATTAAATTAATATAATTATGTATTTTTGTGAAGCTTTTAAAACTTGGTTTTAAACTAAACCTTTTTTGACAGAGTAACTACAAGCAAGGGCTCTACATAATGGAAGGAACCATCGCTTAAAAGCATCTCTAACAGGCTATGCTTTTAACCTGTTTAGCTAAGGAAATTCGAAATTCCATAGAAAGAACACAGCTTGTTCATATGTCGACGATAGTTCAAGTCCCGGACAGAATTCGGAAATTCCTACTACCCATTGAATATCCAGATTTTCCAGTACTACTCCAACATGTTTCAGAAAAAATTAAAACTGATTAAAAACATGTTGGGCTCAGTGGGGATCGAACACACCGTTGATTATAATCAAAACATTGCTACCAATGGATCAACACTCCTATACTACTACTATTATACTTCACTTGCTTTAGATCTCACAGTGTAACTTACCAGTCATAATAACAACTGTGACCATTGTGACGATAAAGAAGGTATTCTGCCATTCATCAGTGTCCACCATCACAAGAGATGTGGTCACTATGAATGAAAGGGTCACAACTATAAGCGAACCGAGCAGTCTACTTCTTACTGACACTCTGTAAGAGATAGAAAATGAGAGACAGACAAGTTTAGATTTTTGTTCACAAATAAGTAACCATAAAGCATCATGAGGAAGTAATAGATGTTTTGGAGCAAAAAATTAATAACTAAACTAACATAAATATAGTATACTTATATTCTGTTATCTTTATTTATTGTAGAAAATAATAAACTTCGTAATATAAACAATGATTTAACATGTTGCCTAGCATTATGTAAAATGTAAGAGGCCCTGGGTTTGAATTCCAAGACATCATGTATTTTGTTCAACAGAAATGTATTTACTCCATGCCTCACAAGAAAGTTCACTACTTTATTTTATTTATAATATTATAATTTACTTACAGATGTCCATATATTGAATTTAGAATAAGAAATACCAAGTTAGGTATAGCAGTTGCCACATTTAAATAGGAAGTAAACTCAGCTTGAAACTGAGTTTTGCGGACAAACATTGTCAAGTTGTTTGGCTCCACATCTCGAAATTTGTACATCCAATACTGTAACAATAATTTTTTATATGATTGGAGCATATAACTTTTGTGAGATTCTACCAGCTTACCAAACACAATTATAAATATACAAAAGCAAACTAGAGTCCAGATGTTATATAGCTAGGGTATTTTTAATTCCACCACCTGAACCCCAGTCTTGTCTGTTCTTTACTTTTATGAAAAGTATTATTCATGAATGGGTACAGCCTTTTAGTCAACCCAAAGCGAATAAACTAAATATCAGAAAAGTATAAAACAACATTATTGATTTTGTCACAGCACGAGCTTTTAAGGGCAAGGTTACACACGATAATAAGATCAAATAACATACTTAGAAGCCTTACTTCCTCGTAGTAACCCCGAAAAGTGAGGTCATGTTCATTGTCTTACAAAAACTATGTCAATAAAAACATATTAATATTTAATAACTCATTGAAAAAGTATAACTTTCCTATCATGTATTTTATGTAATTGTAATTATAATAAGGTCACACAATCAAAGTGAAATAGGTTATTAGATAAGTAATAGTTTTATTTCAGAGTCAATAATTAAGTAGTTCTTTTAGATTATTACAATTAGATACCATTAAGAAACACAGACATAAAAAATTACACCATAATGTTAACTATATCATATTATGTATTGTATTTGTTATGTTATTGTAAAATAAATAATTAAAGTTACAAGACAATTACGTTGACTACATTGTAATTCGAATAAGCAACAAAAACATTTTCCGCTGTGGCGATATAAAGGAAATACACTTACATCATTTGCAGTAATCAAAAAGTTCCATGGTACAAGTGAAGTTATGCCGAATAAATAAAATAAAAAATATACAATGCGATATCGGTCTAAAGGCTCTTCGCAGTTATCTAAAACTTTTGTTGAACACGAATCGCTAACTAGTTCTCTTTCTTCCGAAAAGTCGACATCGTCTTCGTTTTCAACAGTTTCAATGCAATCTTCATTGTTAATTGACCCAGTGTTATCCATTATCACAAGATATCACCGTTATTAGGAAAACAATTGTTTACCAACTCTTTTAAGATCACAAAATCGAAGTAATAATTATTGTGGATTTAATCCACATTCCGCACTACTGCCTTATTTGAATCAACATTGATTTCTGTTCAGTTTCGGTGCTTCTTGTAAACTATTAAGTGTCAACTGTCATTGTCAATTATGTTCTATATTCTATTTCTATATTTTATAATTTTGACCGATATCGAAGATTTATAATTTTTTGTAGATTTTTGAAGATTCAAAAATAAAGCTTTACATTTGGCTGACGCATAGAGTAGGATAATATACATTAAGACATATTATTTATTGGGCTACCTTGAGCCATGTCATATAATCAACGTGTCTGAAGATGTTTTGAATTAATACAGCTGTTGCTCTATAACATTTTCAATAGTATCCCACGTGTTATCCATTTCTGATTTCGTTTGTTGTAAACATTCAATCCATGATACTTATAACTTTTTATCGATATTGAAATCATTCGATATTATAAAAATATATCACTTAAATATTGACATAAATTGTACCGATAACTGTCAGTATTATAAATTTGACAGTTTTGACACTTGAGATGAAGTTGCATTTTATGCCATAATTTTATGCCCTTAATATATGACAAGAATTAAGTTCACTCTTATGTTTTTTTGCTCGATTATTTAAATATCAAAAAAGATAATCAGTAATTTCTCAACTCCATACATAAACTTATTCAAAAATGTCTGACAATTGCATTGTAATAGAAGGAATTCCTCGAAGGGTTAATATTAAAAGATGGTCATTACACATCAAAATCCCACAACCCTTGGTGAATTTTTATTTTTTGGCTTGGCTTGTAGGTACGAGTTCCTATATTAGTGAGGAAGTTGTCATGGTATATTAAAGGACATTTCTCACTTATTGGGGTATACGCAGACAAGGGTAGTTTAAACAAGTGCTACATAACAATGTCACCAAAACTGTATCCTCCATATGTCGTGAAGAATCTTAATCAGGCAGCATTTGGACCAAACAGACTCTCCGCATCAATTTGCAAAAACCCACCTGTAAGAAAATGTTTTTCTAATATGTAATGTGATTTTTATTTTCTAATGGGGACACTGATAGAAGGCCGGTTGATATAATGTGACTATAGAAAAAAAAGACTACTTTTCCTGTGAGTTATTGGCATTATAAAGGTTAATAGTATAGACATGGGTGAAAGACTATATGAGGCTGCTAGAGCCAGTAGGACAATTGCAATTTTATGACTTGACTTATATAATTATCTACAAGAGCGCAAGAGAACATATTTTTTACACAATAAATAGAATGAATTAATTTTCACCTAATTTAATTGTTTAACTTTATTTACCACTTTATTGAAAATCGCGTTTGTTATTAGGCCACTCTGACTATAGCAGCCTCATATATCACTATAGATTTATAATTATATTCCTAGTTTAGATATCATATTTATTACTAAAGTTTTAATCTCATAGTCATTACTTGTATTAAACATTTAACTACAGGTGAGAAAAACTCCAAAACGAGTTAGGGGCTTACCTGAAACTCTGCGCAAAATGATGCGCATCCCCCTTGAAATGTCTCCGAATGAGGTATAGTATAATGTTATTGTCGTATTATTAAAATAACATTGTTGAACATCATATATATATAAGCACCAACCAACAAATAAATATCACTTTGTGCCATTATTTTAGGTACTTCTAAGTGTTCTAAATGAGAGTATTGAAGAATTGGTATACAAGTATACTGGATTAGTGGACCTTAGTAAAAAAACTGACCACAAACTGATGGAGAATATTTGTCTTGTAAGTACTAACACTTTTAAACGGTTTAAAACGCGAAATATTTTAGTTAAACTCATTAGAAAATTATTTTTAACTACGGCCCAACATTTCGGATGCCCTGCGTCGATCGGCGTGCGATCGGCAGCCATGGTCATGGGGAGACTAAAGATGGATGATGTCTCTGACGTCAAAGTAACACTTTTTAGTTCTAACACTCATATTTTCGATGTAGTGAAAAAGACTCCTGAAAACTTAGTGTTTATGTTTTCGTTGGCCTGGGTTTCCAAAGCCTTTGAGTTTCCATTTTGCTCCACTGGTTAATCTCATTGTCTAGCATTTTGCTTAGGGCCAGAGGTCCTGATTTTCAAGTCTCAAGGATTTCAAGGTCCCTGTAAATATCAAGGCCCTCATTGGAATTTTACACACACTGAAGTTTTATTTATAAATTGTTATAAACGAGCGATACCGTCTATTTTCAGAGTTATTATACAAATAATAACTAAACATAGAAGTTTTGGTTCAATTAGAAAATTAAATTATTCCAGACGATAGCTGATCGTATTAAGAAACTGGCAAATACAAGTACGATACTGGATTCAGCGTTTGAGTTGAGCAAAAGCTACAGGAAAGCATATCCCCATTTTGGTGATTTCCAATTAATTTTATCCACATTACACGCAATAGAAGACTCCAAAGGACAGGCTCGCTCACAAATAAGTGAGAAGGATCTTAACGCACAATATTATCAAGACTATGGTAAGTATTATTGTATATAATAAGGTTTTTACATGAAATAAAAAATATAATAAAATAAAATAAAATATACTCTTTCTCCTTAAATTTAGATATGTCAAAAAAGTTTGTCTGTCTGTTTGTCATGGTTCTACAGAGTGTTCCAAAGAGCTACATGACCAAGAAGAACACCCTGAAAACTCAGTCCGTCTTTTTTATACAATTTTGTGAATTGATAAACCTAAGGAGCAATTTATATCACTGCCAGGCATCCTTGTCATTAAAGAAATCGTTCAAACAATAATACGCCTTTTGAAAAAATCTAAATATTATTACTTTTTAAACTTATTTATTGATAAATTTGCAAGCTCAACTGACTACGTATTATACGTACGAATACGTACTTTTATAACTCCATCTTAGATCTCAATATTGTTTTTACATTATTTTACAATATTGGTTTTAAATTTTTGTTACTATGTATTCATATTAAAAAGCATGAAAATATAAATACATAGAAGATAGTAATATAAATATTTGCGATATAATGTAGGCATAATTATATGTACATATATTCTACAAACTACTAAGCTGCAATTGTTTGTTTAATCTTTTATCATAATAATAAAATTTTTCCCAAAGCTCGGGAAATCAAAGTACAAAACTTTTTGCTAGAATGAACCTAATGGCAAAAGCACAATGGATGAGAACTATCGAGGTCCTAAATCTGTTACACAAAAAAGCAAGTCCTTGGGCTGAACTCCAAGATACATTAATGTTTATTTTATGTTACGAAATCTAGTATTGGTTAAGTTCATGTTATTATTTTAGTTCTATTAGATTATTAGATGTTTTGTTGTTAAGACTATAAATCACTGTCGCATTTTTATTTCAATAAAATTCATGCTATAAGTAGCGGCACGGATCTGTAGCGCTGAACGGTTCCTGTACAGAAGTCAAAAATAAGGTATTGAAGGGACGGAAGCGGGCGCGGGGCGAGTGAACGTCATGTGCGCTAGCGTTGATTGGTTCCCCAGTCGTGTAGTCTTTCTCGGGCCAGTATGACGCTCCGCTTGCTTCTCGAGTACGATCATGTTTTCCCATCAATTACATGCGCGATTGTATGATGCGCAACTATCCCCTCTGCACTTCGTTTAGCACTAAACATCCGTGCCGCAACCTACACATAAATTTTAACTTACTTTACTTTTGTAGAGACATGTACATTCCATGTATATGTTTTAACGAAATTTTTGTTACCTCCAGTACTCAGCAACAACCGTTCCGAAAAAATTCAGTCCATCTGTCAAAAATATTCTACTAGGATTGTTAAGAAGGTATGTTTCATTTACTTTCAAATTGTAAATTTCGTTTGTATTTTTTATATAAGTATTTGTTATGTTTAAGCAATTCGAAATTATGAAGTTTCTGTGATATCATATAAATTAAATTAACAAAATAAACTTAGATTATTAAAATTTGAAAAATTTATTCAATTTTTATCATTTACCTAAAGCTATAAATTATAGAATCATAATATCTATTAAAAGATTTAAAAAATTTATAGGCAGAAGCTAAACTCTCGCGGTAAAGTGAATATTGGAACTTTCCGTTTGATTCCTGTCTTTGTTGTCGATCACGTCTGCGTGTCTATATCTATTGCCACCATAACAATAAATAAAAATTCCTATATAACAAAAAAATCTCCTCCAAATTTCCTCCTTTTAAATATTTGACTAGAAAAAAAAAATCAATATAAACTATCTGTCTACTTACCAATTTTTACCTAGGTAAATATTGATAGGTACTCTAGTCTATTTGATTACCAATATATAGTAATCAACAGATCGTAAATTCTATCTCCACTGGGTCTAATATATTTTTAACAAGTTTATAATTTTTCTGCAACATGTTGGACATCGTTTAGAATCTGGATATTAAACGGGTGGTAGGAACACCACAATTCCATCCGGGCCCCGGGCCCCGAACCACGGAACCCAAACGCGATGGCACTTCATTCCGAATAAGCTTAAATAGGTGGGCAGCATTTCTTGTTTCGATGGCTGGGTTATTTCATCTAGCATCAAGCGAACTCCAAGCGTCTATAAAAAAATACGGTCTTCTCAATACGGAAGCCTTTGTATGCTGATTCGACACGCACTTAGCCGGTTTTATTTAAATTACCTTTAAATACTCATTTTAATATAATAACTATTGTAATTCACAGCTGACAAGTCACATATTGAGTTTGAAGCCCGAACCTGACCAGATGGAAGCGACACTGGAGGAAGCTGCTGCAAGAGCACGAGTGAGGAATGAATTGAAGAATTTGCTCCCGTACATGCAATCTGTAAGTATTCAATTCACAGTAGGTAGGCACAGTTTTGTGTACGTTTTTTAATTTAAAATTACTTTGCATTAACAAGCCTTAAAAAAATACGGGCTGCACTCTCGTTATATTATATAAGAATATTAATGTAGTGCATTTTTAAATTCGAAACAATTTTTTTTACTAAAATTATATTTAAAATAAATATAACGATAGAATAATACAATTAATATCTATTCTAATATATAAAGCTGAAGAGTTTATTTGTTTGTTTGAACGCGCTAATCTCAGGAACTACGGGTTCTAATTGAAAAATTATTTTTGTGTTAGAGCATTTATCGAGGAAGGCTATAGGAAGACAAATAGAAGCGAAGATACAGCGCGAAATGTGAAAAAAAATGTCTCCCGAGAAAAAAGTGTGACATTACTCCTCAACTAAAAAAAAAAAAAAAAAAAAGGGGGGGCCCCCCCCCCCCCCCCCACCTCCCACTCCTATTCCCAAAAAGCCAAAGAAGAAAGTTTCATTGTTCTAGCTTCAAAAACCACGAATTTCCATACAAACTTTCACCCTCCCTTTTCGCAATAAAAAGTAGCCTTTCTCAGGGTCTAGACTCTAGACCATCGATGTACCAAATTTCATTCAGTAGTTTTGGTGTGAAAGAGTTACTTTCGCATTATTAGTAAGGATTGCTTACGAAATTTGTAATTCAGGGTAACTTAAATTTACCTGTTTTTTTATTAATATTTTTTTAGATGATCCAAGAAGTGGTGACGAAAAATTTTGCACCAAAGCAGCCTAAAATCTTCAAAGTAATGGTATGCGTCCTGATTTTATAAATTATGCTAATATTATATAACTAAACCGGGATTCGAACCTACGAGCTCCCTTTCCTCATTGAAATTTCTAATTTCATAAATACATACATGATGAGATTTAAGATTTTATAAAAAAATCAATTAATCACAATCGTGGACATATGCCATACCCTTACCGTATACATTAGTGTAGATTTTAAATAAATATTTTCAGATTTACGGTGAGCCCTATCTCCCGTCTCGCCAAGTAATGGAGCCGTTTTTACAACAATATCAGCCCCATACGGTGTCTCGCTCCGAGAAGATGTTCAATACGACCTTGGTTAAACTGACCAAGGCGTCTTGTTACTCTCAGCTGCTGGCCAAGGACGGACATGTTATGAGTAAGTATTGACCCTTCTACACAACTAAGCTGGGAACTTTCAGAGAACCGCATGTTTTCACACCAGACAGTGGTAAAAAGGTACGTATTTGGTACGTCCGTAGTTAACGCGAGTAATACACATTTAAATAAAAAAATATTAAAGTAATAATATTCGAAATAAACTAGTTATACTTGTTTACAAATTATTTTTATACACAATTATGATTAGTATATTTCGCGTTTTGAACCGTTAATGTTTTATTAAAATGTTTGTCTCCTCTATAAGCATTTGGGTAAAACAATTTTGATAAAAGTTGCCAACGTAGCTAATACATTGATTGAGCGTGTAGTTGTTGGTACTATTATTTTAATGATGGTGACTCCAACCTCGTGGGGTCAACTTAATAGGTCCAAGGTCCCGTGGGGTCCAATTAAGAGACCAATTACACCAGTCGTTTCAGCTCAACGCTTTTTTTAATAACACAAGGATAAGACAATCTTTGATTCCCCTGAATCTCAGGTTTTAAACTCTAACTAGAGCAATCCTAAAGGCAAAAGTGGTATTAATTGTGAATTTATAGGTTTCTTTTATTTTCAGTCGATAACTGCAAGCTAATAATACGCCCCGTCGACGTAGCGAAGTACTCCATACCAGCGTATATAAAGTTCGATCTTTGCAATATGTCGTCCCTTACACGGGTTCAAGATGAAGCTCTGACGGAGGACACATGGGAAGAATGGTAGATGTAAGTTTGAAAGGGAGAATTAATGCATTTTGGCATTGCACCACTCTCCATTCTCATGGGGTCGGTTCTCGTTGATTCCTTCAATCTTCCACAATTTACTTATTGTGATTTGTTGTCGTATAAGATGCAATTAAATAAATATATGATAACATATGAATTTTGTTATTTTTTTTATTTCTTATGTATTTTCGACGATCGACGGCGTCGGCACCGGTGGATCGCGTAGTGTTGAACGTGTAAATACGTAAATATGGCTTAGCACGTGTTATGTGCCGGCCCTAAGCTGCACTCTATTAGGCGACAGCCCTAAGCTGTGACACTACGGGGAAACTGCTGATAGTGCGCGTATTCGATACCCGTGCGTGCCGTATCCTGATACCTGATGCATCGTGCACAGGGAGACTCCTAGATTTAATTATGTAAGACTAATTGTAAGCGTCGAACTGCTGCATCGTGCAGGGAGACTCTAGATTTAATTGTAAGACTAATTGTAGCTGCTGATGATTGCACAGGGAGACAAGATTAAGTGATTAATTAAATGTAATATTGGGGCCGACCGGAGGCATCGTGTACAGGGAGACACCTAGATTTAATTAAATTAAATTAATGTAGGCGGCGAACCGCCGCATCGCGGGAATTAAATGTAATATTTTTAATTAAATTAATTTATAATAAATGGAGTTTTTTTGCAACCACCGGTGGCGACTAACATAATTCACGACTAAATATTATGTGTTGATATAATTTTAAAAACTCCTTTAGAAAGCGTGTATATTACTTACGAGCTGAGCCAGCGACTTCGTCCGCGTATAATAGTTATTTTGGGCATCCAACAATTGGTGTTTGGTATAAGCAGTGGTACACAAATAAAATTATTAGTCTAGTTTAGCCAAGTGGTGCAGTGCATTGCGGGTAAGTTCCCGGATTCAAAAAATGTAGCTCAATCGATTAGAGCAACAGCAAGGACCGCTATGGATGTCGATTCGAGTCCTGCCCGTGTCCTAAATTTTTTTTCAAGCTTAAATCAATTCTTCGAAATGATACTTCTGTATTTGGAATTCTTGTATGAAAATTTCAAGTACACACGGTTTGGAAGGCGTCAAAGCCATTCTGAAAGCCTCCAAGCCAAGCCTAGAACTAAACTATTGAAACCTCTTCTAAGCGAAGAGTTAATCATTGAAACAAAAATAACAGCATATTAAAAGATAATTTATTCAGATCTCACAGAAATAAAATAAATAAATAAATTGCAAAATGAAATGCATTGTCAACGCGAGTAGGATACATTTGATTATATAAACCTTTATAACATTATAGATAATCTAAAAATTTCTGTAATCTGCTAATCGCACAGCAAACATGGACGCTCTGTTCATTTGTACAAAAATATCTTGGAATGGAAATTCGGTGGAGCAAAAATACTGCTATTTAGTGTAAACATTGAATACACTTGACGGTTTAAAACAATAATCTTTTAAACCGTTTAGCGTTAAGTAAATACTGCTATACTATTTGTAGAAATATGAAAAACTTTTTTACCCGTAATCACGACATCTATAAATTTACGAATTTGTGACTTAATTTTGACATTTACATTAAAGATAAAAATTATACGGGTATACAATATAAGTATAATAATTATTGTATAAGGCAACCTTTACGAGTACACTGTGCGATTCAGCCATTCGTCGAGCGAAAACGTTGCGTATTCGCCACCAGATGATCTTCCCTTGAAGGTTTCTGGAAATATTAAAAAAAGTAAACAACCGATATAAACTGTGGCTTCAGTGCACCAGTGCGATTAGTAAGCGTGTACAGTAGATTGTTTACGAGGTAAAAAACTGACTAACATACAACTTTACTATTACCGGTAAACAAACTAGAGATGATGTGTCGTTCACGAATGGTATTTCAACTTCAATACAGTGATTACTAACCAACGTAAAATTAATTAGTTATTAAGAATTTTATATACTATAACCTTCGTGAACGATGTTTTTCTAAAAGGAATGTTTGATTTATGAAATTCAACCTATATTTATAATAAAGATTATATGCACATGAGGGCCTTATTAAAATCACAATTAGATTTTTGACATAGTCGGGACTGGAACCCACGAACACCATGAACCGTGCTCTTGTAACAGTTAAGTTATCGTATCAAATTGGTCATTTAAATAAAACACAAACGGTTTAAAACGCGATATATATTAGATACATTTATTTGAAATTTATTTTTAACTACGGCCAGACATTTCAGATGCTTTGCAGCAGCGGTGGTCACGGGTAGACAATCGAACCGTCGGGCCGTACTTAAAAATAAATTTCAAATAACTTTAACTAATATATATCGCATTTTAAACCGTTAAAGTGATTTATTTAAATGTGTACTACTCGCGTAAACTACAAAGTATCAAATTGGTCATGTCATTTTTTAATTCCAAATAGAGTATTTTCAAATAATTCAAACATTCCTCCTAGTTATGTGATGCGCCATATACAATATTGGGATATTGCATATACAGTTGTTATACTTGTTCGTTTGTCCGTCTCTCTGCTCACGGCACTGCCAGCTCGCGTTCGAGATTTTCAAGCGGCTCGTTGTTCGCTGTTTCGTATAGTAATATAAAAATGTGAAATAAAACTACATATGTATATGTTTCTCTACAGGAAATAACAGAATATTATAAATACGTAAAATTAAATAACAGACCAAAAACAAAAAAACAAATTTACTATAGATGTTTCTAGACGTTTCATTGGTTAGGAAAATTGTCTGTGATTTTTTTTAGAACAGACAGGCATGGTTTGCAACTGCCTCTAATAGACCAAGAGCATGGGAGGAATGAGAAGAGCTGGCAAAAATCTCCCTTCCCCCCCTTCCAAACTTAAATCGCACGTTACATTTCTACTTGTTTTGCTCAAAACCCTAAGAATTGTTTCATTTAAGTATCGAACTACGCTCATAATGAAGTCTTCCCAAAATTTTTTTTACATATCTTAATTTTAGTTCAGTATCTGAAAAGGAATAAAAACTCACCGATCATCGACTTTTTTTAACCACCGCTTTCTATCTGGGTGAAGTCAGCAAATTGGTATGTACCGCTTGTTCCGTAGTCTGAAAAAAGTAGCACAAACCATATTATAAATTTTAACTTTTAATGACACAAAATTAATCCGAAACCATCTATATGTGATAGTGGTTCGTGACCTGGATGGATAGTTTTTAATCACTACCAACAATATAATATCCAAATTTTCGACCAATTCTCGACAACTTAATTTCATAAAAATTTGGTGGAAATGGAATTGCGGCTTAAAACTCGAAGTAATAGGCTCCTAGAGTTCTGAGCTTTGTGCCTACGATGTGGTAAATCGGGTTTGATCTTTATCCACATCCACGTTTGTGAAGTCTTTCTACGATAGCACCTGTTTCCCCAGGATTTGAATACATGTCTTTATGCTAAGCAATATTTAAAAGATAAAATACCTGTGAGCCAGTACGTTCAGTACGTGTGCATTGACCGTATAACCGGCTGAATGCAACGCGTCTCTTAAATTCTGCGCTGGTATAGCACCTCGACCTTCAGTGTCGTACAGACGGAACACCGCCTAGAAATAAAAAACAGTATAATCAATAAAAAACTATGGCAGAGGACTTCACTCGATGGAAGGTGATATACTCTAGAGTTGTCATTTAGCATCTAAAAAAGTCGACCTAGTTTGATGAGATGGGTAGCTCATGACTTAAATGAAATTTCCATATTCCATCACCTACATCTGGATGTACCAGACCAAGTCCCACATGTATCAGGAAAATTATAAATTGATTTTAGAACATCGGCTGGCATCCGAATCCTTAATTAGTTAATGATTAAGTTGACGTTAAGACGTGTAATGCTACTAATGCTACCAAAAATAAATGTGAGTCAGTATATTGCTCCTGAAATTCAATTTTCACCCCCTAGAGATTTCCACAGTTGGAACTTCTATTTTAATAGATAAATGCTGAGTTTTTACTAGAAGGTCCATCAGACATGGATATGTTTTTCGGGTCAACATCCGGTGGTGAAAGTCTCGACTCCGCAAAAAACTGCACAACTGGTCTAAGGTTTTTAAGATATGGGTCTATGGGCCAATCGGTTACGAGTATCATGTTACTCTGACATTGAGCTACCGAGTCATCTGTGTCTGTAATATAATCACAGTGTCTTCGTCTACTTACTCGCCACTGACGCAAGTCGATCCAAAGTGACTTGAACTCTTCGAAGCCAAGACCACCAGAGTTGTCTTTGTCCAACATCGCGATCATACTTCTGCAAACATCCTTAGAGAAACCCTGGCCGCGGAGTTCTGGTGGAAAAAGGTACTTTAATATACAGTCTTGTAAAGGAATACTCGAAACTGAAAAATAATGTGAAATTGAGTTCTAAATATTATTTGTGTAGCTCATATTTGAAGGAACATACAAGGCTAAATTAAACAATGTTTTCAACGGCCAACACACACTAACTACTACTATAATTAACTCTTTATACAGTTAAACAAGATATTTTAAATGTATAAAGTTAGTTAATTTATTTTAAATTACGGCCTGGTTGTGATGCGAAGGTCCCGAAACGTCGGGTTCGTTTCATTATTTACTAATATTTTGTTTAAAATTGTTTAAAATGTCAATTAATTTAAGTAGTAACTGTTTCTTAGCAATTCTTAAACGCCCTATCTCATAGTCGTTGTATAAAAGAGCCTTGCTGTACTTGTGGAAGGTATCCCGCTGAATAACATCTAAGATGTGCTGACAACCTATTTTGTCTTTGGACATCCGGAATGTTTCAATAATATTTAGATCTCTATTTCACATTAACACAATAATAGCGCTAAGATGATGATAACTTAAAACTTATGGAAATGGAGGACTAATACACTACAATGAAAAAAAATCTAACAATTTTAAAATGCCCATTTTCTTGCATATAATTAAGCGTAAAGCTTCAAAATGCGAATTTTATCAACGGTCGTTGATAAAACTTTCATTTCGAATTGTTAGGAGCGTAAGCTTAAAACTAACGTGAAGAATAACTTATATATAACCTGAAAGAAAAAGTACATAAAAAATAATATTTCAACAAAAAACAGACATTTTAAAACGCAGCCTCCATTTCGATAAAATTAATAAAAAAAACAGAAGCATGCATCGTTGTCTGCAACCCTGAAAACTATTAAACATAATTAATAGTATTTTGTAAATTAACAAATAATTAAAATCCTAATTAGATTAATATTCATAATATACAGGATATATTTTAAGATCTATTGCCTGTCGGACCCGTAAAAGGCAATACCCCAGTCACATAACATCTAACAAGATACGCTGTCTGTTGGTGTAAAATATAGAACTCTGATCTCTTTACATTCTTGTTTTCTATTGAGGATACTGATTGATTAATCCAATACACAGTACGTTATCCAACTCTCTCCTATAAAGAAACCCTCCATTCGGTTTTTCAAGAGATGGTCTCATAATGTAAACACAGAACTTGTCACAGATCGAAATGACTTCTTTACCTTGTGGCTGTGGTTGGTTCAAATGAACCTGTTCTTGATTCTGTTGGGCCACCTGTTGCAAGTCTACACCCAGCTCCTTGCAGATCGGCGTACAGAGGGCACAGAGCAACTGCTCGAGACAACTCTGTTCAGTGGGGGGAGACACCGTCGTTCCTCCTCCGTCGTACGCGCCGCCGTGGCGCATGGCCATTTCTATATAATGCAACCACATGCATGTGTTTATTTTCTACATTACGGACTGTACGCGGTCGGCTTTTTTATTGTGCACTTAATGTATATTTTTCATACAACACAGGTTATACAGATTTACATTTGCCTGACATGACGTGATGTGTCGAGTTATAATTTGTGTTAACTATAACACGTTCCGACGCTATGGAACAGTTAGTTTAGAATTAATACAGCCGTAGGTAGGATAAGGTGTTGTTCTAACAGCGCTATTCTCCCTCCACAGTTAGTCGACTATGAAAAGGGTAATCTAAAAACTTACAAAAAGTTTAAACAATTGGAAAGGAAGAGAAAAATACTATAATTATAATACTTCCGTTGTATATCATTAATAAGTTCACGTACAATACTGTAAAAAATAAATTAAATTAAACTAGCTACTCCGCTAATCCGCCCTCCAACCTTTTCGCTGTTATACAAACGGAATCACACCGTTAGCACAAAAGCTATCAGAAGCTATTCAAGACTGTATTGGACCCATTCTTGTACATCACGTCTCGTCAGTCAAATTATATAAAAATCAATTTAAAAGGCCCTAAAAAACAAACAAACATACTAACATTTATATATACATACATTTTAAAAGCTATAACGGAATTAGAGTTTTATTACTTACATATAATTCACAGGTACGCGAAAATAAACAAAACAATACAATAAGCTTAGTAAACACAATTATATACAAAATGGGCATTTTAACATTGGTATATGTATAGGCGAAAAACATATATGTATAAAAAGGTATTAAAGTCAGTATATGGACTTTTTAATAAGAAAATCGCAAGCAAATAAATAGATTATACTTGCTTAAATCTTTACTTAGGAGAAAATAAAAGAATAAAATTATTTATTAATTTTCAAGTATAAAAGCTTTAGAAGCGTAATAAAAGAAATCAATAAGTCTCCATAAAAAAGCTAGCTTTCAAAGAAATAAAATACTCTGACAGAAAGACTCTTAGTAGTCTAGTGGATGATCAGCATTACTCGACCGGAGCAAATTCTTTGTTTCCCATGATTAGAACCCTGAACATCGTTAATAGATGTCAGTCGTAGGGTCCCCTTGTTCCCCTATAAGATCCTTGAATCGTGTTTTCTGTATTCAACAATTATAACCGCCGATCTTGTTGACAATTGGCACCAGTAACTCAATAATAGATTGCTATTCCTTATTTGTAAACTACCCTCCATAAAATATCATATAAAATTTGAAAATGTAGGTAAGATAAACTCACCCTCACGCATCGCATAGTCCAGGATCTCTTTTAGTTCTTGCCAGTCAACCTCTCCATCATCACCGGCCAGCCTGTTGAAGAACTGTCGCACTGGATCCGCTGGCTCCGGTTCTGGAGGTAGGACTTCCTTAACCTAAAAACGTGATTATTTATTTATTAACACTTTATTACACAATAGACGAGGAAAAAAATATATAGAGACGTATGTACTAATTTGGCGTGGTCTTATCGCTAACAAGCCGCCTCTTTCAGGCATCCCAGTATGAAAGAAAAATAAATTTATTAATTTAATAATTAATCCAGTAAATATTTATAACAAAGATTAAAATAAACGTCTTACCCTATCATCGACGTCGCCCATACCAACATCTTCATCGTTCTCACTGCAAAAATTTTAGAGGATAGTTAAATAAATCGATCATTTGTATAATTTTTAAATGGAACTTCCACCTGTTTTAATCTTGCGAAGACGATAAATATACTTACGTCATATTGTTATCTTTTTCAGAGAACACTCTTAGTAGAAACTCTCCCTCCTCATTTGGCTCAAAGGTGGAAGGTACTATGACGTACCGACCCGGCTCGAACTTGAATCTGTGATTATAAATAATATAAATGTTATAATTTCCGAGGTTTTGCAGTGCGTCCGGCATGTTCGCCGAGGCAAGGGTATCGGACTTTTACGCGATCGTAAGATCGAGGGTCGCATCATTTTGGAGTCGCGTTAACACATCACCGAATCTCATAGTGCAAACTTTCTCCGAGTACCTAAGCAATCCCATTTTAAAGAACTGGGCAAAAGTGCACGCTGACAGCAACCGCAAATAAACAGTAATGTTAACTAATTAGTATTATTATTATTTTTCTTTTTTTATATGACATATTTGTAAGATGTGGGTTTGTACCTGAATATTTTAGATTTAATAAGAATTATTATTATTATTATTATGAAGCAAAGAAAGAGTTTCTAGATACTAGATAAAATTACACGAACACATAAAATGTGAGAAGGAAGGCTAGGTAGTATAGTACATTCCTAATGTATGGCTGATAACCAACAGGTCAAGTTGGTTAAGTTAAATCCTCACCGGGCCCAACAATTTTGTGGAGGATTTGTCTGGAAATCTGGATATTAAATATTGAAACTCAGTCCGAGTCACGAACCACACAGGTGAAAAATCCGTCAAGTTTAATCGCGTTCAAGTGAGGATTTCCGAATATCCAAGGCCAAAATAGGTAGACATCAGGGTCCATCACCGACCATCAAGTAAAACCATGCTTGTCTGTCCTGCTCTATCATACAAACATTTTGTTATGGGTATCTTGAACCGTTTTCGCAGCGCGCGCTATAGAAAACTTTAAAGTTGAAAGATTTTCCAGTGTTTTTCTCCACATTTAACACTGTTTCTTCTCTCCTATTAATCGCAACATGAAGTTTTCTAGACTAAAACCTTCCTCGACAAATGCTCTAACTGTATGTTTGTGTGTGTGTGGAATACATGATTTGATAATTAATAAACTAGAATTACCTAGCGCTGACTTCTCGTAAGTTGATGAAAGCTTGCGAACGACCAACCGAAGCGTTGTATTTGAAGAAGTTGATGTCCAGTGGTTTCGGTACGTGCCCGTAGTCGGGCAGACGGTATACCGCGAAACCGATCGTAAGACATTCGAGACCCTGGTGACGCTGCGAGCGACGGTTCTTCTGCATGAGGGCTACGATTATCTATAAAAAAAGTTCATATCATTACTACTACTACAAAAATTACATTTGACAGATTAGAAGTACTAAATACTGTCTGAAGTTTAAGTAAGTAGTACGTATTTAAATAAAACACTTTAATGGTTTAAAACGCGAAATGTATTAGTTGAACTCATTTGAAAATTATTTTAACTGTTTTGCAGCAGCCGTGGTCACGGGGAGGCTAAGGACGGAAGGTGTCTCTTATGTCAAAGTAAAAAATGCTACGCTAGCGCCATCTGTTAGAGTACTTACAGTACACTTGTTCTCTTCGTCATCCTCATCCGGATCCGTCAGCGTAACGATGTATTGCGGATTTTTCCAGAACGACTCTAGGTAGTTCCTACAACCACCAGCTGTTACACCTGCGACAAGAAAGACGATTTCCATTAATTTTATTGTTAGCTTACGGAGCTGCTGTTTAAGTGTTAGTATATTTAAAATTACTGCCTTACCTCGAACCCACTCCCCTTCAAAGACCGACATCTCCCATTTCTTAGTACAGCCCTCAGGACACTCTTCAGGATCAAGGGAATCTGGGTTCAAGTTGCAAATTTCCAGACTAAAAAAAAGACAAATTTTGAAAATCTATTAGAAAATCTCCTAAAATTAATACTTTCTTTTTAAAGAACTCTATTTGCACGCTGTTTTCGAGCGTGGTCATAGAGTTCACTTGATAGAGTACTACTAGCGTAGAGACCTACCCATAGAGCATCTAAACAAAATATGTTGTCGACCTCTGTTACGTTGAACTTCCATTAACGTATAACATTGTTGTTAGTGTTTCTTACCGGTCAAAGTGTTGAGAGAAATCTTTGAAGGCCATCCAGAACTCTCCGTCGTCATCGAAAGTTAGACCCAACTCTTCTTTCTCAGACTCGGGTATGAATCGCCATTCGGGTGATCTGCATTAAAAATGAACTGAATGCTTATGTTTAAGCAATAATACTTAATTATGAATGCTTAAAATGTAACAAACAAACGAAATAATAATTGTAAGTGTATTTATAAATATTTTTTTTTTAATACATTATACTAATAGATACTTTTTTATTAGGATTAAAATAAGTTACTAACTTCCATCATTCGTATTGATTAACAAACTACTCCGTTATAGGAGTAGTCGAGTGCATGTAGTACTAACACCTTTAACGGTTTAAAACACGAAATATTAGGTAGCTATTCATTTAATGTTTAACTACGATCTCCGCTATATGCTTTTTTACCTTTAACGGAGTATTAACAAGTCACGTGCGAGTAGTACAAATTTAAATAAAACATTTTTAAGGATTTAAAACGCGAAATATATTATAATACGGCCGACGTAACTTGCCAAGTCTGAACATAGGTTAGACGAACTTTGGCGCATGTACACTCGTAATGAAAAATAATACTGCCATTTATTTTCGTTACTGGGATAAATAAAATATTTTACCTATAGCAAGCAAAAGTAACAGAAATAATTGGTTCAAAGAGAAGAGGGCTACGAATACTTATCTTTCAGTAAAATACTAAGACAAAACAAACATGTAACAAAAGTGAAAAAATAGCATTAAATTTAACAATAAACAATCACTTTTCTAACGGACTGGACTCAAGACAGAGATAACGAAATAAACGCCGAGACACACTACTGTTTACCGAAAATTACCGAATATGTACAAATCTTTATGAAATAACCAAATAGAGATGTCCATACTCGTTCCTTGAGAGTGTCGTTTAATCGATACCTATTGAAATAGACAACATTGGATCGTAGAAATATATTTGTATAAAAAGCTTTAAAGAATTTAAAAATCGAAAATAAATTGAAAAATTTTTCGACTCGGGCAAGACTTGGACCGGCATCGTCAGCGTTCCGTGTTGTTGCTCTGACGCTGGAACGCTGACGATGCCCGTAAGTCCATTGCTAAACGAAGTCGTAAATGTTTTCAATTTTTAAATTATAAAATAGTGCCTTCATATGCAATAAACTCATATTTAACTAAATCACGTCGTTCAATAAAGAAAAACAAGTTTTTAATGATTTTATTTTCCTTTTAAAAGTATTCATGGTATCATTTATTAACAACACCATTCACTTTGCTCTAATAAATCCATTTACTACAATATCCCATACGATTAAAAATTCATAATCAAAATCGATAAATATCGATTACGAAATTTAAGAGAATAAACGATCGATTGTGTTGACAATGGGTCAATCTCTAGCCTAGATCTCCGTCCCGCGTACTTCGCTCTTACCACCGTTAACATCCTAAGGAACATTTCTGCGTAGCGTCTAAAATCAGTCTTATAGGTTACTTATTTTTTATTAATTTAACTAAGATAACGTGTGTATTAAAAAAATAATTATCACGTATTAAAAAAAGATAGCTATTTTTTTTATAGTGTGTAATACACACGGACTATAGAACGGTTCTTTCTTACTTATCACTCCAAGGTCCGTTCCATTCCGCCTCATTTCCCCACGGATTGCGCAGACGCAACAGGGGGATCTTGCCCGAGCGACCCGGTGTTTCAATATCCACATACTTCACCCGGGTCACGGAATAGGCGTGGCCTCTAATGAGGCCCATGGGCGTTTCCGCTTCTAGGACATTCGGGTCTGGCTAGAAAAGGATACAATTACGCTATTAATAGAAAAATCTCGCAATTTTATGTAGTCAATAAGTAGTAAGGATTTTTTTATTTATATAATGCAATCATGTGCAATAATTCGTAAAAAAATTTAAACGTTATGTTATGTATCTTATTCATCTTAAGCTGCACAACGTAAGACGTTGATCTTCAATACGTAAATGTTAAGGATACAATTACATGGGCAAAAGGTACCAATAGGGTGAAAAAAATCGACTATGACGTGTAGGACACCGTAGCTGAATTGGTTACGCAGCACGGTACGCTGCAAATGCCATCAAGACCCGCCCGTGTCGATATTTTTTTTCCAATGTAAATAGAATTTAAGTTTAGCCAATAAATTAAAAGATATTGTCGCAATAATTAAGTGAATATTTGAAACGGACTGCCAACTCGCATATGCGAAAAACGACAAACAACATACAAAGATAATGCATATGTAAAATTAAATAATAATAAAATTCACCTCTAAAAGGGAAATACGCCTCAGCGCCAAGGTACCAAAACTTTATTTACCTCAATACTGCATCCCATGAGCGAATTTCTTTCATATGCCTTGAGCAGAATAGTGTACAGATTCGGGGGAGGTTCGTTCATCTCATACATTTCTGTGACTCCCCCCGTAAAGTCCTCCATTGCCTCGCACGTTGAACCACCCTTGAGCGCTTCATACGACCCGTGAAGTCTGAAAGACATTAAACATTACAACAGATGGCGCCAGCGTAGCAGTTTTAACTTTGACATTAGCGACACCCTCCATCTTAAGTCTCGCGCTGACCACAGCTCGAATGCTTTGCAGCTGTGGTCACGTATCTGTTTGCTGTTGAATCGATTGTCAGACTTCCCTGCCCTGTTTAAACTATTATGTTTCACCGGGATTCGAACCCAGGACGCATTTAACCAAATATGTTCACGCCTTTATAGAAATAAACATGATACAATAATTAAATTAAATTTGAGGACCTAAAAATTGAAAAAAAAGAACACTTACTTGGCATATGCCTTCTCGAGTAATGCACTCCAGAACTCATTTCTCTCGGACGAGTGTAAAAAGAGAAGTTTCCCTCTGTACGTGGGCAAACGGTCGTCGATTACCACGTCCACCCAACGCCCGTATTGCCAGAAACTACAAAAAACGTACAATTTAGAAATTAACAAGTAAAATAACAACGTCATATAACACTGTGAGGAGAAGGTTGCGTAGTTTTAAAGATTTAAGCGTACATTGGGACAGAAAAAGCGACTTTATTTAAAACTATGTAATGACGTTGAAGAAAGAAACTTTTGTAACGAAGACATGATTTTCTAATATTTTTTTCTTAGCACGTAAATGAAATTACGGTATGGAGTAAGTACAAAATACGCACCGGAAATGGAAGACACCAGCGTAGTCCTCATCAAAACTCTGGTCATCCGGTACGACTTGGAAGAATAGCCTGAAATATATCAACAAATTTTATTGCAACGATCTTTAACTTCAGAAATTAATACTTACATCCCTATTGTAAATGGTGAAACTTATCATCCTATATTACACAACTTAGAAGCACTTGAAACTTACTTTCTATAGAGTGTTAGATTAGCGACGGCTGCCAAAAGCCAGCAGTCACCAAGTTCTCCTTGCTGCACATCAAAACGGCTGTACCCCTCAACAAACAGTTGGGGGTCGTTGGCGATTTCCTATGTAAATAAAGTATTTAAGAAAATTTATTTCATATACACAATAATACACACATAAATGATATATACACATAAATGTTATTAACACGGCTACTTCGGTAGTCGACCTATTCGACCGTCGTAATAGAGAAATAGATTTGCTGAAGTAAAATTACGACTGATTCAAAGACCGAAATAGTTTTTGCTTAGCCGTCAAACAGTTCACAATGATGTCCTCCAATCGTGATGGTGAAATGTCGAGAGCCATTTCTCAATTACGATTTTTTAAGCGATTTAAGGCTTTAATGCCATATTAAAACATACCCCAGGCCTCAACCAAGTGATGGGACGATCCAATCTCTCCTTGTAGTAAAGACTGCGATCCGTAGCAGGAAACTCTGGATCCTCAAATAATCTGCCTTCAGACAAGCACCTTGATCTTATATCCTTGAAGTCCTGGTACGCAGCTGGACCAAAGGACGAAGGACGGGTTTCACCGAGCTGAAAATGATTTTGTTTCCAAATTTAAAAATTAAACCAGTGGTCAAAAATTATTTTATTATTGCTATAGAGACATAGAAGTATATGTTAACTAAATGTAGGTTTGAGTCGACGACTGTTACATCTAATAATTTAGCGCTGTCGATCTATTTTGCTTTTGGATAAATACGATTTTAAAGATTTTTAAAAGATTTATATAACACCGCTAGTTCGAATTAAAGAAATGAGTATAAGATTTAATTCGACATATAGCGTCTGTTTGTTTGTAGATAATTCTTAGAATATGATTTTTCGTCTTGTAACGCATTACCGCACCAACCTTCTCCTAACATTAAAAGGATGGATTAGACACTTGTTTATCAAAGGGATGGATTTGATTTCTTGTTTTGTAGTGTCATTTACCTTGGATGGTAGAATTGTAAAAGGCTTTGTATATTTGAAAATAAGAGCAACAGGACGGAACGCTGTGGATGCCGGTTTATCCACAGCGTTCCTGTCCGAGTCGTAACTTTTTTTCAAATTTATTATCGATTGTTAATTAACAATATTATTTTTCACCTGTTGTATTGCACATATTATAAAAAACTATAAATGTATTAAGAATAAAAAATCGATGTTACAGGCGATGCTTAAACCCAAATTCACAAGTCCTCGCTTCTGTTATATAACAAATGGAATCGAAATTGTTCAACTCATTTAAATATAACACTTTAACGGTTTAAAACGCGATATATTACTTAGTTAAACTTATTTGGAAATTATTTTTAACTTCGGCCCGACGTTTCCTCCGTCTCCCCGTGACCACGGCTGCTGCAAAGCATCCGAAACGTCGGGCCGAAGTTAAAAATCATTTCCAAATAAGTTTAACTAAGTATATCGCGTTTTAAACCGTTAAAGTGTTTTATTTAAATGTGTACTTCGCGTAAACTATAGACAGCTAACTCATTTATACATTTAACAAATTCGACGAGATCAAGAACATGGTAGCTCAACTGGTAATAACAGCATGGAACGCTGTGGTCTTGAGTTCGGAGCCCGCTTGTTTGATTTTTCTTGTAGCATTGATTAAAACCAACAGACCCAATATAGTCGGAGTCCAGTCGGCATCGTCATGGCACTACCCTGATAATACCGAGGTAACCTTAATTTATGTTCTTTGTTTTCTATCACACGACTTATTACTTTGGTTGGACGCTTATCCAGGAACCTTCCAAATGAGACTTTATTTCTTTTCGGGTACTCATTGACACCTCTGTCCAGCGTCGTTATATTTCTAGCAATCGTCTCGACTTCAGTATCTTTGGAAAGTGCATATAATTCCGTACTCTGTAAGGGAGGCTTATCTGCGATTTTGTCCTTCTTAAATGAGAATTTCGACCAGAAACCACTTTTAATTCGTTCTCCATCTTTACTGGAATTATTTTTTGTTTCTTTCAACGCCGATTTTCTCCATTTATCCGCGGCAGATGCTTCTGTATTTACCACATTTGCGAAGGAAAAGTGCGTAGTGGCGCGGTGGACAATTTCAAGATTTAACTTTGTACAAACTTCCTTCACCTCCATGTTACAATGATGATTTTAGGTCACTTTAAACTAGCTTAACGCGTAATCAACTAATTAGTAAATTGGACGACTTAACACAATTTTAAACAGTTAAAAAGGCAAACTAATTACTAAGCCCTGTTTTAACTTGGGCTATTATTTTGGAAGTCTTAAAAAGTCATTGTTTTACAAAATTGACCATTCACTGTTAATTTGGAATAAAGACTGACTAAATAAGGGCTGATAACAACGGTTTGTGTGTTTATAGATAGAGGTATAGCGGATATAAAGGTAGGCTACCAATGATTAATTTTTCTTTTATGTATTACACAAATACAATGCTGCTATTTTTTTTGTATTTCTTAGAAGTATCACGTTTAACACAATAATGTAGACACATAATACATTAACTTAAACGAGAGCTGTCTGTAGAGCTTACGCGAGTAGAACACATTTAAATAAAACACTTTAACGGTTTAAAACGTGATATATTTAAACAAAGAAAACAACAACAATGTTAAACAAGTTTAACTAAAATATATTGCGTTTTAAACCGTTAAAGGGTTTTTTATTTAAAAGAGAGCGATAATACACCAAAAAATAGAGTCAACTTTACGCATTTAGCAATTTTCTAATAGTTTTTAAAAAGGACAACGAACAAAGCTTGCCTGTAGACTTCACTCTGTTTTGAATATATTTTCGTTACAATTTATAAACCGACAAAGATGAACATTCTCAAATAGATTTGTGTATGTACTTTTTTTTCTTTTAAGTCGGTTTTTTTTTGTTAAAAACATTTACTAAGCTGTGAAATAAAATTATTTTATAGCATAGCTTAGCATACAGTGGCAAACAAGGGGGCACCAATGCCACCCTTTGCACACTACCATTGTCATTATTCGGGTGCGGTTAAAATAATTATGCTTAATAGTTTAATCCATCGATGTCAAGAACTTTGTAGTTGTATCATAAACTGTTATATTTTGATACCAATTAACTAAAAGGTGGTGGTAATTGCTTATACTAAGGGTTTGGTCCTCATGGGATGTATTTTATGTTATCAACATTATTGTATCTAGGTAATTATACTGTAGTATTTATTAATCATACATTAAATACTCTCTGTAGTTTACGTGAGTAGTGCCTACGCATGTAAATAAAACATTTTAACGGTTTAAAACGCGATATTTATTAGTTAAACTTATTTGAAAATTATTTTGCTTTGCAGCAGCCGTGGTCAAGAACGAATGTCGGGCCAAAGTTAAAATAATTTTCGAATAAGTTTAACTAATATATATAATATATCGCTTTTTAAACCGTTAAAGTGTTTCATTTAAATGTGTAGGTACAACATATTTGAATTGTTTTTTTATCAAGCAATACATGAGCAATCCAGATTAAGGTGTGTACAATTCTAAGATCATAGCTAATCTAGATACAAGTTGTCGCGGAAATTAAAGATATGAAAGAAGATAAAAATGTTACTCACCCCTGGTTAGTCAGAGGGTACGTTTGAGGAAACTAATTTAATTGTTACTCAATTTGATTTCGATGATTTTTAAATGATTATTAATTTATTACGTATTTTTGCCCGGGACCGTCAATACTAACCGGGCGCTTTGGCGCCATGCTTACGGCAAAACCAAGGGTGACCTGGCACTGGGCCTGAGCTTGGACCACCGTAATATGGATGGGAGAATGAATAATTGGACGGAAGGTCACCCAATTGCGATGTCGATGAACAAATTAGCGTATTTTAAGTTGATCAACCTCATCTGAAAAAGGTGGTAAAAGAACTCAATTCCGCCCGCCAGTCGTCAAATTTATTCGCGTTTCGATTTCAGTCTCAACTTCCGAATATCCTAAGCCAAAATAGGTCAACAATAGATCTTGTTGAGATTTTATATGGCTGGCTTATTTCACGTACTATCAAGTTTCATCCCATGTTTGTGTCCTTTATAATAAAAAAATAAAGCTTTTAAGTGTATTAATTAATTACTCTCGATCCGATGGAAAAGTCTAATATGATTTTTTTTTACTGATTTTGTCTGTCGTTTAAAAAATATTAATGTTAATAATGTGTACTACTCGCGTAAACTATAGACAGTACTTAAATATTATTATTATAATAAAAGTAAAAAAAAAGATCGTACTCCGTTCTGGTTAACGGGTTACATAATCCTACACTCACATCGAGTTTAGCTAGTTAGAACGACAAGAACCATATATGGCAATAAAAATAAATTGGACATGAATGGTTGTACGTGAATTATACACAAACATACTAAGTATAGATTTGAGGTCTTATTTCACATACATCAAACACGCTGTGGTTTACGTGATTATAGTCGACCTATTTAGCTTAGCACAGACACTACTGACTCCCAATTTTATTTCGTAGGGGTAAGTTATAGACACTGTCTAGACGACTGTAGCCTCAATTTCAATACATAGATGATGTCTAGACAAGGGACGCTAAGGACTTTAAAATGAAGAAAAATTCTAGTGGGGTTAAAAATTATTATAATGTCTAAACGTTTTTTGCTTAACAGAACATAAGAGAATATAATACGTGCTAGTAATATAAAAAGTTTAATAAAATCTGACCGCGAACCACTAATCTCTAGAGTAAAACCGTAGGATATGTAACAAGTATGTGTTAATAGAGATAATTATGACACTATGGGCCCAAAATAATGGCCTCATTTTTATCATTAAAATCTAGATTAGCCTACACGTATTAAGCACCGCTGACTCTGGCTTCGACCTGACGGAGAAAAAAAGATTGGCTCCACCTCAGTCACTCAGTTGATCACGTGACTCTCTTTTTCCTCTTAAATATTACATCGTACATTATTACTTTTCTAATGAACTCTTAAATTTTGGCATAATGTCAGCGTTCGTTTATTTTCCGTTCGAACAATTCATGGGAAAATCCTTTTATATTCTTAAACGCGTCATATTAAATGCTAAGTTCCCGTGTGGGTGTACCAGTTGCAAAAAATTTCTTCGATATTTTCCTCTTTTGTTTGGCAATTGGCCGATCACCTTAATTTAATATTGCGACATATTACGATATAATCTATTAGCCTAAGCCGCTATTGGTGACTTTATGCAACTAAAATAGGTTGTATATAATTTCAAATAGCGAACTAAAGCTAGAAGTAATTAAAGACGCTATTAACGCATTTCTCACACAACGCAAACATGTTGATTTAGTACTGACACATCGAGATCCAGTGTATGCTAAATTATAAAGGTTTTTTATGGTAAAGTACAAATTATTTCGTCATGTAACGCGTTACGATGTCGGCCTTTTACGATATCAATTCTGTAAAGTGGCCCGAAAAATGTATAATTAATTTTGGAAAGTAAGTCAGGATTTTAACTTAGAAAGTAAGATGGTAATTCCAAAAAAAACCTGCCAAATAAAAGTTGAATAGGCGTTTTCTCATTTATATATGTCATTATATAGATATCTACTGGTCAGAATAATTCGTTCCCACTGAGAGTTCATTAGACTGTGGCACGATATACATAGCTCGGAAACCGTAGTAATTTGAATGACACATCGCGACCTTCACGAGAGCAAACAGTGCGTGTTTCTTGTTTATGTGTAAAACCTAATCAAAGGCATCTTGATTCTCGATTCATAATTAACAAGTCAAACAGAAAAACATTTTTTAAAAGCAGATATACACATTATTTCCTCCCTATTTCTGTTTTTCTTTGTCTGTTTGAAAGAATGATAAAATAAAATACAAAAAGGAGGTTGCTATACTAAGCTTGTTTTTATAGTTAATATTATATAGCATGACCATTATGTTTGTATGCATAACATTTAACCATTATTTGGTCATAGCATTCCATTAGAGTTGAGATCATATATTTTTTTTATTACAAATAGAAACAGCATTCGGCACTTAAGGTTATATAAAAAATAAATTATTCTGTCTAAATCGTTCTAGGTTATATTTTATATCTTTAACTATAGAAAATCCTCATATATTTGACAGTACAGCATCTGTTATATAAAGAAGGAATATTGGAACATGTAGTCAATAAATTGTAAATTTAAAATTTATTTAGATTTTCACATTGATGGAATTCTACAATAGGCAGGACTCCCACTTGGCAAGTTAACAACCATACTGTTACCATGTAACTATAAAAATTCTCATTTTTATGCATCATTTGCTTAAATGTAATTTTGACCTTAATGTTTAATACATTTAGTAGTTGAGTCTAAGAATATTTACATACCACTTTATAATTTTTGATGCTTGGCAAAGTCCGCTTATGCTCTGCCTCCTTCTTTTGAAACACCTCATTGATGATATTACCCAGGGCTTGTGCACCATAGTTAAGCAGGGCTTGCCCGCCTTGGTTCAAAATTTGTCTCCCCGCACCTTGTATTAGCGCGCCAAAATCGGCGCCGCCATTTTGCGTCATTTTGACGTTTATCTCTCACATTACTATCTTTTCATTCTCACAAATTAACTGTATTCGGTCTTGTATCATTGCTGTGTTGAATATATGTTATATTTAATTATAGATAATATATATATAGAAATAGGTGGCTACTGAAATCTTATGTACACTGTCATGGACTAATAGAAAAACATAGAAATAACATAGGCATGGACTTAAATAAACACTTGTCTAAATGTAGTTATGTTCTAATAATTTTAAATAGTCATGTTAGTTTTTAATAGTAATGTTGCATAATTTTCCTATCAGAAGGAAAATATGTAACAGGAAATGCAGTTTGTTATATTTATGTATCAATTATAGTATTCACTATTAGCATTCGCTAAATGGGTTTTATTTTAAGATAATGAAGAATTAAATACAATTTTCCAAATTCTCATAAAAATAATAAGGATTTAAAAAATATTAAATTAGAAATAAGCTCACTGGTACATACAAAGTTATGTTACTACATAACTACTATACTACCAAACTAGTCATATGGCTATTATCTCATGACATCATACTGTAGATGTGTTAATTAACTGTAAAACACACTTTTTATCAAACATTGTACTTCTAACTTACTCCTAAGTGTTCTTAATGGCAATAAATATTAAAACCAAAATTATGTTTTCTATTAAGAAAGACTAGGATTTGAATTAAAATATTTCTCTATCCTCTTATCTCAATATGTCAATTGTAACCTAATAAAATGGTATTTATTTAATGAACTTAATGAAGTCTTCAAAAACCTTACACACAATATAATAGTGTAATTGTGTACTTTTTTAAAAACGTCATTTTGAAAGGAATAAATTGGAAATGCCGCATAGTGGGTGTCTAATTACATTCACGACACGGGCGGCGCCTTGCGAAGTTCTAATCCAGGTCAATGACGAGTTTGTCCAACCCAAAAACACGTAAGTGGTTATGCTATCATGGTACCACAATTACTTTCAACTATCGTAAATTCATTATCGTCCCAAATCTAACAGATGAGGTCACCTGCACGAAATAATCACAAAACGCACCTACCGCGTCAACTTTTAATTGCAATACCCATTTTTTCAGATAAGACTTAATAATATTCAACACAGCAGTGAAAACCCATATTTTATACCTCGCTTTAAGTTAATTTTAACACAATATTCACATGAAATCTAAAATAATCTCATAACAGAAACAGACACACAACCGCACTACAGAAACTTGTATGAAAATTGACTACTTGTCAAGATGTAAGCTGAATTATTTAAGTAGGTATGTTAAGAAAAACGTGTTAACGACAACATTTGACATTTTCGTTTGGTAGCGTTATAATATAGTACGATTCTGTGATTTGCTAGCGCTTGCCAGCATCAAGAATGACGTAAGCTGTAATTTGTTTTGAATTCAAAATATCGTCATTGATGAAATTATAGATTTTAAATCCTAATTACGTTTGAGTACATGACGGAAGTGTATATGTTATTGCTAGTAGAGAGATTATTATTTCAATCAGAAAAATCTAGTTACAACATATATATTTCTCTCTATTGCACTAATAAGTGTACACAGGCAAGTAATCAATATTACTTCCCTGTACCATAAGAACTTTATGAACCATAACCATTATGTTAACTCAGCATTCAAACCCCTCGCACTTAGCGCAATGTGTTTAACATTTGAACCTCAGTACATCAGTCAGTTTATGCTTTTTAGTTGTACACTACAGTTATTAATTAAAAATCGATTTTAGATCGAAGAGAAATTCACGTCACGGACAAGACTTGAATCGGCACCTACAGCGTTCCGTGCTGTTGCTCTAACCATTCGAGCTACGCTTGTTTTGTTTCGTAAAACAAGACCATGAACGGTTAATTGTTAATGTATTCTAATTATAGAGATAATGCATATAATCACAAGATTTGCACAAATGACTCAAAGATTGAATGACTTCATATGGTAACGCAGTTACAAACAAAGCCGGGACAAGATAAGAAATAGCAGCTATGCTTATTTGTAATGAATAATGCAAATTTACTAACATATTTCAATAATTACGTATTTACCTTAGAGGTAATTTTAATTAATATAGAATAAAATATGCATTCAGAAAGAATGATTAAAAAAATCTTTAAAAGATCTAAAAAAACGATCTAATATATTATATCATAATCTTTAAAGATTAACTTGCAAAAAAAGGGGAAGGGGGCGCACGAACAACGTGGGTAACAGCTCAAGTTTATAAAGAGTTGCAAAAACGAAATTGGATGCCCAAAACAACTTTTCACGCGGACGAAGTCGCTGACACAGCTAGTTATGGATATATAAACCAAAAAAATCTTTATGAGCAATCTATCGTATGCCCTTTCATTGAATTTCACTGTATCTGTGGGGTGAACATACTTCAATGTCTGTCTCACTGTGCCTTGCCCAACCGAAACTAATAAGATAATGATTGTTCCCTAGGGGATTTGAACTCGGCGCCCATCAAGTTTAACGCAATGCCATGCAGAGTGTAAAGTTTAAACAATGAGCAACTGTAGTTATATACTGCTACTTGATAGAGAAAAACTTAATGGAGTTAAATACTGTCTATAGTTGATAGTACACATTTAAATAAAACACTTTAACGGTTTAAAACCATAATTTAGGTAAGGCTGCTAAAGATCCGAAACTCGCCAATTAAAAACATTTTCAAATAAGTTTAACTAATATATCGTTTTAAACCGTTAAACTTTATTTAATTAATGGAGTTATTAATTAGAGTGTGTATTGTATTTTAATATTTTATTTGAAGTGAGTCACGTTCTATATTTATTGCGTGGTTTCAAATTCGCTAGTTATTTTATTTATTTGTTTATTTTTATAATCACTGTGGTTAGGTCAAAAATAGCAACTAATTTAGTTTCATTTTGCATTAATAATTACATTTTAATAAAAGATATCGGCCCGCAGATAGGAAATAAAGTCTGTTTTGAGTTTTAAGCCATTAAGTGTTACATTTAAAGTCGTAAAAAACAAAACATCAGATTGCTTTGAAAAACATAAATCAATTATATTTCGAGTTTTAAACCGTTAAAATGCTTCAGGTAATATTAAAATTAAAAACACTCAATCGTTTGGCCTTTACCAGGTTTTCCTTATATGTACGCGCTGTGATAAGTATTACGAGTTTTATAACATTTAAAAAATATACCTTATTAAGGTCGTGTGAAATTCTCGAGGCTTCAGTAGGTACAGGTTTTTAAAAGTCACATTAACCTTAATAAAATCAAAGATAAATAGTTTTACCTCAAAAAGACATACCTTTATTATAAATACCATATTTGTATGATCCGTCAAAGATTATTTAATGATAGGTACTCTTTTTAAGACATGATTGAAACAATATACCTAATTATTTTTTCTCTTTGATTTAAACCATAAAAATCAAGGTAAAACAAAGAAATTTTTTTTTACGTTATCAAATGTTTTTGTCAATTCAGCCAACAGACGTGTAACTGTCTTTAGCCTCCTATAGCTTGTTGATAATTCGCATAGCACGAAAAACAGGACTAAGTATACTTCGCAAACTTACTGCTTTATAAATTAAAACTCGATTATAGATTGAAAAAAAAAAATTACGACCCGGCCAGGACTCGAACCGGCATCCATAGATAGCGTTATGTGCTCTTGAAAAAAATTTTCAATCTATAATCGATTTTTAATGTATACAGCGCCATCATGTGAAGTGATTAAAGCTTCAAACTTTTGTATACTACCTTTTAGTAAAGTGTTTGACTAATTTCATTTAGGGCGGTATCGTTTACGATCCCTACTCTCCAAAATACACAAGAATCCACGTCATCGAGTCACAAATAGATTCCACTCGTACTCTACACCAGATGGTTAACTGTTTATGTAAAATAACAGTATGAACTGTAAAATTATGTACTCGGTGATGATTTGTAGTATAAATAATCATTTGATTATAATTAGATCATTTTCCCATGCGAAGTATTTCAAGGAAATTTTATTCCCAAACGGATCCTGTGAGTTATTCTTAAAAGATAGACGTATAGTATCGGTTTTCGGAATATTTTCGGAATTTCAGAAATATTTATATCCTACAACAGCCTTTATCTATAAATGATCTAAACAGCGCAAAATAATTTACCAATTCGGACTTCGATTAGCGCGTTCAAACAAACAAACTTTTCAGCTTTATATTCAATAATTTGATATCTTATTCGATTTACAATTCTTTGCTGAAACAATTTCCACTAAAATAAAATATATAAAAAAAGAACTCACTGAATGTTCTTTTAAATTTATAAAAAAAAATACAAATGTTTTATTAATTGGGTTTACTCGCGTTAACTACAGAATATGTGCAAGGTCCGGTTAATTTTAAATGTAACTGAGATAGAATTGTTTCTTTTTTATAATTAATACATCTATTATGTATATGATACACAGAAATAAAATCGTGGTCGTAAGAAAATTGTATCCTTTTTGTATAAAAAAGCGCCAGCCATAATGAATCATTTACCAATTATGCCTAACCACGATTTGAGATATGTGATTCATATCCTTTATATGGACTGACGATGTAAATGAGCGTAAAAGATGACTACTGTATTTTTTCCAATACGACATACCTTAAGACAATGAACTTTACGAAATAATTTGCGCAAATTGATTAATTTTGCAAAGAAATCCTTTTTATAGTGCTAATATGTAAGTTAGAATTGGCAGTTATTTACGTTCAACTTCTGATAAATTTTGGTATCGATTAAAAATTACTTCTAGTTTCACATAATAATCATAAATAAAAGCGATATACCTATATTAGTGAAACTTATTTGGAAATTATTTTAACTACGGCCCGACGTTTTGACGAATGCATTGCAGCAGCCGAGTACCCAAGAACATGTTTAACTAATATATATCGCGTTTTAAACCGTTAAAGGGTTTTATTTAAATGTGTACCACTCGCGTAAGCTACAGACAGTATTCAGTTTTACATAGTTTTATTTTAATTTAGCCAATAGTAAGAGGGATTGAAGAAATTTAAAACACTTACGTCCAAATTAACCTTGACCGCTGCAAAGTCCTCTTCAACGACTTCCTCGACCGCTCCTCCCTCGTACTCCTCGACCGGTAAGGCCGGGTACAGTTTCACACCACTGAAGGAACTATCGTCTTCTGATGGCAAAGTGGGGTATAGGCTCCCGTTACCAACCAAATCACTACTATGCTCTCCATCGCGTTCTCTATTCAAAAATCCGCGAACCGCCTTTGCAGTATTCGTTGTACGATGCCAGCCCCAACCGTTGGCGTGAAAATTCTTCGGGTAATAGCTGAACGACATTCTTTCAAGACGTCCGCGCGTTGCGATTGTAAACAGAATCTGAGTGTAAGGGAAGTTCGAACCTGAAATTACATTCGGATTTATGTTAGTCTCTCGAATTTCACTCGTGTGCGAGGGTAATGACTGAAGCTTTTTGTTGAGAACAAAGGTACGAAGACAGACAGAAATATAATGTTATAATTAGTGTCTAAATAATTCATAATTCACAGTTACCTACAAACTTTAAATATATGTTTTAGGTATTTTTATTCTACTATTGTTAAACCCGTATCATAGTAATAATATTTTTTTTACTTTTAACTAATAATTAAGTAGGCATAGATAATAATTTGAAATTTTACCAGATGTAACAAATATTTAAAATCACATTCGCGGGCTTCCATTTCGCTTGTATCATGGGTTAATTGTGATAAAAGTATTCAGGTACAATCATATAAGTATATGACATGCATGAATTATTATTATTATATAAATATGTAATGTAACCGAAGTAAATGTACAAATTTATTAGTTTTTTGTGGGAAAATCTTTTGTTTTGATCACGTGGATTTCTCAAGGCCATTTAAACAGATGTCGATTTTATCAATTGTAGAAAAATTAAGAAAAGCAATAGTCTTATCATCAATCATATATAAATAACATAGTTTTATTTAATTAGTTTCAGAATATTTCAATTCTATGTATTTTGTTAATATGCATTTTTTCTTGTTCAAAAGAAACAGGAAACTTCTACTTACTAACAATAAGATAATTAGTAATTACCTGACAACCACAGAGTATAGAACCAATAATGATACTGGTGTCTGGTGATGGCCGAAGAGAATATGGTATGTTTAACAGATAAAGTATGTACGTGTTATGGTATTACATCAAGGAGCAAGAAGTATACATTTCTTTATAAATAGGAATGAAAGGTTAGTAAATAATTAAAAGTATTGCGCTCAGAAAACGATAACTATCAACTTTTATAACTATATTGATTAATTAAGCTAATGAAGTTGAGCTAGAACTTAATGTCAGTCAATTGAGAAAAGTGTAAATGACGTCAAATGTTAAATGTAAAGTCAATGTGTCAATGTCAAAACTAATTTTGAACTCACTGTAGGCTAACGTAAAGCACATGGTTTTATTTACGAAAAATTAGCAGCAAATAATTAAGAATGAAAATATTATCAGAGGACCGAACGAGGATACTGTTCGAAAAGTTAACTAAATAGTATGTATTGCTATAAACTTCTTTGTATTCTATAAAATTAATTATACTAATTCATGAACAATAAAATGGGCTTTTACTCTTTCCTTGCTTTACTTATTTGTTTTTCTTTTTTCAGTATCGGTGTCAATGTTAAGCTTCTAATAGATAGGCCAGATGGCACATACTGTTTTAGAGAGAAGAAAGACCGTGTTTACTACATTTCAGAGCGATTATTACAACTAGCACAAACAGTTAAGCCCGATCACTTAGTTTCAGCAGGCACATGTTTTGGGAAATTCACAAAGACAAACAAGTTTCGGCTACATATAACAGCTTTGACATATATAGCTCCATATGCCCCTTTTAAGTTGTGGGTGAAACCATCAGCGGAACAACAATTCTTGTATGGGCATCATGTTATTAAAAGTGGTATGTAATTTTTCTTAGCATTATTTTAACCTTTGAACACATTACTTACACAATGGCATTGTTTAAGTATCCCTCTGTCTCTTCTGTAAACTGGTTATTGACGGACTAACATGTTGCTAGTGTTGCATTACATTAAGTTTATAAGTCCTTAACTTCAACTCCTTGGGGAAACTATATTTCTGGCATTGACACAATCATAAGATCTTACCTGCAAATTAGATTAAACCGATCCATGATACAGAAACATGCTTGAATTTTTAAAGTATAATTACTTATTATATAACAACACTCAATTTATTTTATTTATTCCTATTCACTTTATATAAATATTTAATTTATATACTGGTACTGTAATATAACTAGACAATCTTTAATGCATGTTTTTAGCCTAGCAATGTGTTAAGATCTGAAGAAACTAGATTACTAGTAATAAACCTCAAGATAACTAGTAATAAGAATAAATAAATCTTGTGGTGCAGGCTACAGAATATCGGAAGCAAAAATTGGTTGTGGTATTTCACTGTCTATTATGTGAACCCCATGCTTGTCAGTCCTCCTGTATATATAAAAAAATATTGATATGTAAATAATTCAACATGAATAGTCATAGAAATGTGTCTGACTTGTGCATCAAGGGCTTATACTTTCACTAATAATAAACTGGACATTCTGGTAAATGTTCCAAAACTAAACCTTTTTCAAATAATTCCAGGTCTTGGCAGAATCACAGAGAATACACCGAAAAATCAAGGAGTAGTTATATTTACTATGTCAGATATACCTATCGGTTTTGGTGTAACAGCAAGATCAACAACGGACTGTAGACACGCTGATCCCCTGGCAACGATAGCATTCCATCAAGCAGATATAGGGGAATATATAAGATCAGAAGACACTTTAGTATAATAAATGAAGTTTTGACAACAATTCTTTTTCTATAAGTATTATACTAATATTAGTTAAATTTGCTTGTTTCAAAAGAGAGCTGACTTTTAAATAGGTCCATGAACTGATAAAAAACAACATTTGTTTTAACATATTTATGCATATATTTATATAATTTTTTTTAGGAATCACATTGATATATGGGCAACTACATATTACCAACTGTGTCCATACTTAAATTCCAATAAATAATTTAACTTTTTATATATATTATAGATCTAGTAGGCTTACTAGACTTTGAGTTTGAATGTAAAGTATGTTTTATAGTAAACAACATTTTTCTCACTGCTTTCATGAACCATGGTTGCACGAAAACGATTCAGTTAATTAATTTTCAGACGTCCCCGTTGTCTATTGAGGCTTTGAATATTCAAAGAGATTATATCAATTTGCTTAAAGAGCCTTTGTACACTCCCGAACGAAATACCTTTATATTCAATTATCTAATTCCATTTTAATTATAATGAGTCAGGGTTATTTCAAAGTAGCTGCTGTATATAGTATTATAATATATATCATTTAATAGTAAGACAGACATATAAAAGCTTATAAACTTTAACAAAAACATTCTTATGATGTACACATATGTCAAACACACAATATCTCTTCGTATCGTTATGATTTCGTACAATTAAAATGATTTTCAATATGCATTACTACTTCAGAGTAATCTATACTAATATATAAAGCTGAAGAGTGTTTGTTTGAACGCGCTAATGTCAGGAACTACTGGTTTGGTTTGTTGTTTAGATTTTAGAACATTTATTGAGGAAGGCTACAGGCACAACGTAGCGCTGTTACTAATAGAAGCTAAGAAACAGCGGGAAATGTTGAAAAATCGGGGGAAAATATTCATTCTTGCGGGTTCCAGGGTACGCTGCAAAACGGTTCAAGATACCCAAAAAATATGTATGAAAGAATTATTCCTCTCTAAATAATCTAAAAAGCCCGAAACAGTATATGTCTATCTTGTAAGATTATCTTACAAAAATGACGGGACACGGACGACGTCGTCGGTAACAGCCTAAATTTAACAAAACAAACAAAAAAAATTAGAGTTGAACAGGTTTGCAATAACAAAAATTGATATCCAAAATAATTATTGTACGGGTACGAAGTCGCTCAGCTAGTTTCGAATGTCGTCCATTTTCTTCTCAAGTGAGCAAGATCAAAGAAATGTACTAACGTCATCTTAAATTAGGTATTTATTTGTTAGTTTATTCAGTAAGATAAGATTGCTAGAGATTTATCCAGAGTGTTTACTATTTACCCAACACCGTCCTTTCGTCATCAACTGCGGACAATTATAGTATTCCCCCAGTTAAGTAATAAAAGCGTTTCACTGTATTGGTTCACCAAAAAGGGTTCACACCTCAGTTGGTTCGAAGTAGAGAATCTTTGAATTTTCTAATACCTTACTTTACAACTGAATCTCATAATACCTTATATTATTTATTGGTTTTATTCGTTTCGAATTTATTATGAAATTTAGTTTATAATGATATGGATATGCAAAAAGGGGAGCCTTTTTAATTTTATCTCATATTATAATGTAGTAAAAATATTGTTTTTTTTTTATTTTCATGGTATATATGTAATAAAGATTTTATTTACTGATCTTAATAGTATAAAGTTCTTTTATCTAAACTGTTTAATGTAAACAAACTGAAGGCGGATATGAAAGCATGCAGTAGATCTTTCCGGAAGTTTTAATGAAACTAGTTCATGTAGGTATGATAACTGGCTACGTGCTAACCGGCAGGTTTAACTAGAGTGAAAGAAGAGAGGTGTGCTCATGGATACGATGGGTTTAATTCCTCGATTGGTGCGGATCTACGAGATATCGCGAACAAACGGGGAGCCGCGAGCGCCGCGGCCGCTTTGACATTATAGCGTCGTTTTTAGCCCCAAGTGGGCAAAATTAAATCACGCTCAGTAATTCTTTGCTTCTATATGTAAAAAAACTGTTAGTTAAGCGATATTATTCTCCCCTTGAAGGGGTTGGACAGCAGAACCGTGCGTAAGTCAACTGCCACGCGATGTTCAGCACGTGCTTCTCTATTGTCTTTATAGGATTCTTCGATCGTCAATTAAGAGTCTTCCGATAGTGTAGAGTTGAGATACTTAGTGTTAACCTTTTTCACATTTTATCGCTATGAGTGGCAAATGTAACCTGACGTAAGTGTTAAAATTTTTTCACAGCCAACTTAGTTTCCAATAATTGTTTTCGCGCCCGCGTAATTATTCCGGCGCTTAGTATAACAATAGTATTGCAAACTACGGTCAAGATTTATTACGTGCGCGTGACGTTTAACGAAATTCACTTATTTAAACAAAATACAAATCTCGTAACGTTTTAATTGTATGGATTAACAATAAGCTATTAGTTTTTCTGAAATTCAAAATGTAAAAATACGTGTATAACTAAGGTATAACGTAGGTACGTACGTTTTTAGTCAAATATTTCATTCGAATGATCATTAAAAAAACAATTCTACCTATTCGATGCTTATCCAACGCTTCGTAAATGCATGTAATTGTGGGAAGTTCTTGAAACACTAAGCTTGGACGAACTTCACGAGATTATCACTGGATGGGGAAGACGAAACTCGCTTAAAGTGGCATTCTGAACGTCTATTTAATCGATAACTGCAACTGTCCGTCCGTCCGTTTGGAAAGGGGATTTTCGGTAGTATGTTATTTAATAAAGTAATTTTATATTTATAAAGAAATATACAAGATCCTTTATATTATGCACTGATAAATTATTAGCTATAAAAATTTAAAAATCTTTAGAAGGTCGTTATTTCATGACAGATGCGTTTTTGTTTCTTTTTGACATTTGATGTCAGAAGTAGCCTAAGTCGAATAAGTCCTTGTCCGCATATTTAAGCTACCACGTCACCAAAAATTTCACCCAAATCAATTCAGCCGTTCTTAGGTTATAAGGTAGAGAAACTAACACTTATTTTTAAAGATAGATATATGTTTAGTTGTACTTTCTAATTCATCTAGTTTAAACTAAATCATATTTTTGATGAATAACTTAAAACGCTATTTTTTTTTAAATTTGTAATATGAAACACGTTGGTGTCTCTTTTATTGCTTAAGTCAGAATTTAAGCAGATGCTCGAAGCTTGATGAGAATATGTTTATGTTAAAAATTAAGTTGTTAATTTTTTTAAGGACATCTTAAAAAGCTCTGGAAAAGGTAGCGTCCCCGAAAATTTTTGAATTCTCCTTTTTATGCTCATTTATCTATACTAATATGTTAAGCTGAAGAGTTTGTTTGTTTGAACGCGATGGTCAATAAAAATACATATAAACCAAGGCGTACGCTTTAAAAACGGTTATAGATACCTAAACATTTTTTACATATAATTATTTCCCTATAAATAATCTAAAAAAAGGCGACCTTAATATGTCTATTTTTCATTATATACCGTTCACAGATGGCAAAGTCGTCATGTTAATTCGCGTATTGGTTTCAGTCTGTGAATTTTCAAATATCCAATACCATACATCGACAAAGGTCGACAGTGCAGCTTCTTGCGATGTGTATGGCTGAGGTATTCCACTCCGATTAAAATGAACCTCACGCTGGTCTGTCCTCTATCATAAAAAAGATAATTAATTAAAAATGTTGAGTGCCTTATTGAATATTAGAAGTTGAAAGTAATTAGTATTATTATTTTTATTTGTAACTGGTGTAAACTAGTTGCGATTAAATTAATTTTACAACATTGGCCTACCATATTTCGTTGAGGTATATTTGTGGTCACTTCGTTACGTCGACTTTTGATCTGTCGACTTTGAATGGGATCCCTTTGATGTTAATTACCGGCTTTATGCGGAACTGATGGCGTTTCTTTATAAATAAACGACTTTTTATCTAAAACGAGTTTCATGTAATTAGTTAGGCAGCGGATTCAAATTGATGTGGAAAATTGATGGTCATTTTTAGATTTACTATTTGGGTTAAATAGTGAAAAGGGGGCCGTGTTAATGAAAAAAAAAATATAGGCTTTGCTGTCTGTATGTCACCAGGATATATGTAAAAAAAACCACAAAAGTTAGACATTTGAATTGAATATCTCTGTTGCCGCTATAACATCAAACAATAAAAGACAAAAAAAATATATATTAAACTGGCTAACAAGCCCCTATTTTTTATTATTTTCGATAATAATCAATAATTTCACAAAATAAATTGCGCGAGCGGTGCATGTATCAATAAGTTAAAAATTTCGACGATGACGCATGTTTCTAATAAATAAATTGTCGTAGTTATATGTGTCTCTTCAGCACAAAATTATGATATATGTACTAGCGTTGCCTGCGACTTTATCTGCGTATAATAGTTATTTTGGGCATCAAAATTGCTATTGCAAATCTCCTTATCATTATCGATCAGCCGTTCAGTGTCATCTGGACAAGGCCTCCCCCTAGACTTCCAGTACGACCGTCTTCGCCTTTCATTATACATTATTTTATTTATTTATTTAACAAAAATGTATGAAGCCCTGACAGGGATGCCCCCAATGCAGCTTCAACACATTATAGCTGTTATCTACGATGTCGTTTTCAAGTTCAAAATCATTATAATAACGAAGTAGTTTCTGAGATTAACGCGTACAAATAAACAAACTATTTAGCTTTATATATTAAGTATAGATGTGTACCTACTTCGTACTGAATACTTAGTAAATTATTCCTATATGCTCAAGCCCAAGTTGCACTTGTTTTTTATAAATAAATGTAGTTATATGTCTTTTCAGCCCAAATATATTTATTTAAACGTAAAGTGGCGACGGTTTATTAAAATGCGTTCTAGCAGAAAGTGACGGGTCAACACTATAGGGCGACGAGACAAATATTTGAGCTTAGTCGGCTGAACACCCGTACACATCACTTGGCTTTAGGTCACCTACACAAGAATTTTGATATGTTGTTAAATAAGA